ATTCTGTCCTCAGGATGTGTTCAGCAGTGCCACTCCCACCCTGCAGAGCTTTGCTCAGGCTGTTCTGCACAGCATGAGTTTTTCCAGTTCAGGGTGGTTCTTGTTCCTCTTCTGTGTCTGCCTAGATCCATTTTTCAAGACTTCCTTGTTTTTCAGGTCGTCCTCCAGGAAGCTTTCTTTCCTCCCTCCCTCCAGCCAGTGAGTGAGGCTGTGCTTCATTACACCACTCTATTTTAAAATCAAGGTGAAATTTACATAGCATAAAATGAACTGTTTGAAAGTGTGCAGCTCAGTGCATTTAGGACATTCACAATGTTGTGTAACCATCACCTCTGTCTTTTTCCAGACACTTTATCTACAAGGAAACCCCGAAACCCTGAACTCATTAGCAGGCACCCTGCCTCCTCCTCCTCCTGGCCCCTGGTGACTGCTAGTCTGCTTTCTGTTTCTGTGGAGTTCCCTGTTCTGCACATTTCATGTAAATGAACCCAAATACCATGTGGGCGTCTGTGTCTTGTCTTTTTTTTTTTTTTTTTTAGCATGTGAATAAAGCAGCATTTGCACTGTTCTCAACAGAAGCAGGCTTTGGGAGTAAATTCAGAGCAGCCTGCATTTTAGCAAGTGACACAGTGACAAAGCAGCTTCACATGTGTATACATTGTTTTGTGCTCCTTCCCCCTGCCCCCATTCCAGGCAGAACCTGTTCTGCCCTCTTGTTCTCCGATTTTGTTGGAGAGAAAACATAAGAGATAATAAGAAAGGCATAGTGTTTTTGCTAGTTTGAGATAAAGGTAGCTACACAGAGAGATTCTTAGCATTGCTTCCATGCACATGTGTATTACAACCCACATTGGTTCACCTCTGCCAGACCTCTTGGCTACTTCCCGGTCACCTTCCCATAGTGACCTCTGTCAGTTTAAGATTACTATATCAGCTCCTCTACAGTGGGCACATCAAACACTTTCAAGTTTTAGGTTTCCTTCTCTTTCCTTATTCCTCCCATGTGCGTCCTCCCCTTAGTGTGTGATCCATGTCCAATAATATTACTGCATTTGTTTCAGTATATGAAACAAATCTGAATATGAGGGAGAACATGCGAGTTTTGGCTTTCTGAGCCTGACTAACTTCCCTTAAGATCATGTTCTCCAGCTCCATCCATTTACTTGTAAATGACAAAATTTCATTCTTGTTTGTGGCTGAATAAAATTTCATTGTGTACAGATACCACATTTTCTTTTCCTTTTTTTTTTCTTTTTGCGGTACTGGAGCTTAAACTCAGGGCCTACACCTTGAGCCACTCTATCAGCCCTTTTTTGTGATTTGGTTTTTCAAGATAGGGTCTTGCAAACTATTTGCCCAGGCTGGCTTCGAATCGTGATCCTCCTGATCTCTTCCTCCTGAGTAGCTAGGACTGGGATTTGAACTCAGGGTTTCACACTTGCTAGGTGCTCTACTGCTTGAGCCACTTCTCCAACCCAGGGGGCAGATCTTAAAGTCGGATGTGAACCCATCTCTTTGCATACTTTCTCTGGTTCAATTTCTATTCAGCGGAAGTAGAGAGTGGAAAGGGACAGTCGTACCTCCAGCCTGAATAATACTCTTTCCTGTTCTCTTCATCTGACCCCGTGTCCCTGGGGCAAACTCATGGTAGCTGCTGATGTTGGGTGTGTAACCTGAGCTGTAGGACTCTTATCTGTAGGAGGGGAATTATGATTCCTATTACACAGGGGTATCCTGAGCCTTTGTGGGGAAGGAGCCTGTGGAGTGCTTGCTGTTTTTCTTGCAGGGATTGGGAGGTGTTAGGGACCAGCTGTGGAAGTCAGTCGCAAAAGGGACTATTTCTGTGAGGTCCTCCCTTAAGGGAAGGGGCAGGAACTGAGGCTCTTCTTGTCACAAAAAAGTTATCCCCAACGACTTTCTTTTGCTGAGGAAACTGGTCTCCTCCCATCTCACTTCTGGCACAGCGAGGCTTCACTTAAGTTTGGAAAGATGAGCTTTCTGTTGATGGTATTCCTTTAAAAAGTATTTATGAAGTACTCAACTGGCCAGATATTTTGCAGGTGTTGATTACAGTGACTTTTAAAATCTGTGGAAAAGACTAGGGGTCTGGTTTTCTGGAGTTGGGTCATGGCTCTGCCTGTCACTGACCAGCTCAGTGATCCTGGACAAGGAATCACTTATTGGCCTTTCAGTTTCTTCATCTGTAAAAGTGAGGGTTAATGTGAAAATTAGCTACTTCACTGTGTTATTGTTGTATCAACTATAGTATACTTTTGTTACAAATAATAGATAACCCAAACACAGGTAGTTAAGTAGTAAGGGGTGTTTTATCTGGCCAGGCAAGAAGTTAGAGCTAGGATTTAGCATTGACTGGGTTAGCAGCTCAAGGATCTAGGTTTTCTCCTTTTTGTGTCTTAGTAGTGAGTGTTTTCTCCTCTTAGACAATGGCTGCAGCAGCTTTTGGTATCACAGGCAGTCAATGAAGTTCAACCTGAAGTCCAACAAAGTGGTGTGGTATTTTCTCTATGTATCCTTTCTGACTAGTGATGAATCTCTTCCCTAGGAGCCCCCTGCAGACCCGTAAGTCCCCTTGTCTTATGCTGAGTCCTTTAGGTTCCTTAGGTTCAGAGGAAAGTACTGACACATTGTTTGGGAAGTCAGGTCCAGTTTGGTGAGGAGGGAAAAAAGGGGGAGAGCAAGGGAAGCAAAGGTGTGATGCCATCTGTTTTTGCACCAGCCACTGCTTCATATGAGTCTTGGAGGGGTTGGGAGGAAACCATTACCTGATTTGTCAAGGAGCACTTTTACCCTGCTGGGTTCAGACAGTGGAGATTAGAAAGGAGCATGTTGATAATATCTTTTGAAATTGATTTTTAAGTCTCCCCTGGTGTATTTCTGACTACTTGGGAGGGAGGGTAGCTAGTGGTTAAGCACCTGGGTTCATATTTGGGTCCTGCAGCTCACTTGCTCATTAATGACCCCTTCTGGGATGTTTGGAGGATTGAGAGCATTTAGAACAGTGCCCAGCTGTCAGTGCTCTGTGTGCATTTGATTAAACACTTTGAGAATACAGACTCAAAGCTGTAATTTCAATTTCCTGGAAACTTGCCTTTTTCTCCAAGATGTGATCCTTCCCCTTTCATCTCTAGAACTCAGAGCTCTTTGACATGTCCACTGTAGTGATCAGTGCTTACCAAGTCTATGACTTAAGGACACAGATAGAAATGCACATTCTGCCCTTACGTGGGCCCTCTTCTGACTTTCCCTGGTAACACTGGGTACCATTCACCTGTCTTCCTGGGATGTGGTTCACCTGCGTCCTCCTTCCCAAGCAGAGATGGAGCTTCTGCTTTAGTGTTAGCACTTCAGCAGAGTGCTCGGCCTGTGCAGGTGCCTTAGAATTGCTTGTTCAATGAGTTATCAGTGCTTTCCACCCTGAATTTCTTATTTTTCAGACATGTTTTATTTCCCCTACTTTTCTATGAACAGTTTGTGGGCAGGACCTAGAACTTTAGTGTTTTTAAGTGATGCTTACGTGCATGAATGGATCCCCGTAGCAGAGATAGCACATAGATGCACATGCAAAGATGTCACCAGGAGGGGATAGCATGTGCCGTCACACAGCGTCAGAGTTTTACAGTCTAACAAATTATGTTTGCTTCCCTGTGCTACTTCTTTGCCTACTGACTCCTCTTTTCTTTCTGTCTCTTCTGGGATCCATCAGGGTTTATGTGGATTGATGCATCACATGAGTTGAAGACCAGGGGCTGGAGCCAGGAAGATGAATTGAAAAAGTTAGCCCTAAGATGATGATGATTTGAAGGTAGATGGAGTAGAGAGTTTGAGAGTGGGGGACCTTGGAGAAAGCCTTTTCTCCTCTTTGGGCTCATTCTTTCCTTTCAGTTGAGTGGCTACTGTATGTACCATTCTAGTCCCAGACAAGGTCTCTGCTCTTGTGTAGCCTACGTCGTAATTGGAGAAGAAAGTGATACAATGGTGAGTGAGGGGCATGAATTTCCATGACTGGTCGGAGAACTGCTGAAGAGGTGGCATTTTGGCCATGTCAGGGGAAGGAAGAATTGGTGCAGAGTTGTTTTACAGGAAGGAATAAATTTGTAAAGGCTCTAACAGGAAACCAGCTTCGTGAATTGAAGGGTGCTGAGACCAGAGGTGCCGAGTAGGCTGTGGTTAAGAGGTGGAATTTTATTCTAAGTGTGGTGGGAAGTTAGAGGATATTTTTTCCCCTTTTGATTATTTTCTTCTTTACAAACACCATAGTTTGAAAAATCCAGTCCACCAAAAGCATGCATTTTAAGACAATAGAACCTTAAAGTACTTTAGGTTTTTAAAGTATGAGGAAATAATTTATAGGTCACAGTGGATATCCTCAAACCCCACCCCCCACCTAAAGATTGCGATTGGCAGACTGTCAACTAAATCTTTAAGGCGTCTTCTGTTTCAAGTATTCATTCTTCCACAAAGCTGCTTGCCATATGATTAAAAAAAATTACTGCCACCTACTGATAGAAAGATGATTTTTTTTTTTTTACAATGAAAATCCCAAACCAGTGGATTTCTTCTTCACACACCTGACTTTACACCCTGCAGGTGTGAGCCTGGTCAAGGCACTGGGAAAAGGGTGTGCTGGTCCTGGTTTCTCCATTTTTTCTGGGCCTGGGGGGGTGGTGGCAGGGTGTGCAAGTGGATGTGGGTGTATGCTGCTCCAGTGTTGCATGTGTCTACGGGAAAAACACTGGTAGCCAACAGCCCCGTGGCCTCCATAAAAACCAGTTAGTCCTTTGTTAGTAATTGACCCATGGTTTCACTGACTCCCTGTATTTAATGTCCCAAGGAATTGTAACACTGGCCAGTAGGCCTTTGCGTCACGTACTTCTTAACACCACCCCCATTATTGTTAAATCCTCAACTGCTCTATTTCTGATTTGCATTTCCCGTGGCTGAATGAATCTGCTGACTTCCGTTTTCTTTTTCTGTTACAGATTGTGTGTGCAGGTGTCGGTGAGTACCATTTTTCTCTCCTTTCTTGTGTTGTTCGCTACTGCCCCCTAATGGACAAAGGCCAACATTACCAGCAAATGTGACAACAGAAAATACAAATTTACTAAAACCTGTATACTTTCTCTTTAAAAGTGAGGTGAGACTAGTGCTTGGAGGCAGTTCTAGGAATCTCTCTGTGTAGCTATCCTTCTCTCAACTAGCAAAAACACTTTGTCTTTCTTACTGCTTATGTCTTCTCTTCAATAAAATTGGAAAAAAAGGCAGAACAGGTTCTGCCTAGAAGCAAGGGGGGTTGGGGGGGAGAGGGAAGGGGTGGGGGGCAGGAGGAGAGAAATGGCCCAAACAGTGTATGTACATATGAATAAATGAATAAAAAATAAAGCAAATATTTTAAATTCACAATAGGAAAAAAAAAGTGGGGTGAGGGTGGAAACAGAAAATGAAAGGAAAACTTCAATTAACTATACAACCATGACTTAAAAATTATGTTTTCTAAGTTGCGTGCCATGGTGCATGCTTGTAGTTCAGTTACTTGGGAACCTGAGGTAGGAGGATTGCTTGAGTCCAGCAGTTTGGGGGCAACCTGGGTAACATAGCTAGATCCTGTCTCCTAAAAAATTGTATTTTCTGTGATTTTTTTTGCCAGTCTATTCCCATGGGCAATTTATCTGAAAGTACAATATAGACCTTTTATATCTTAGGAGCTGTTAGCCCATAAGTATTTTCTTGTGTTGCTACTTTGCTACATTAAAAAGTGATGTACTGGGATTATATAACTTCTAGAAAACCGGAAGTGGCTTCCTGTATATTTTGCTTTTGTGTGGAAGGCTGGACTGATGGTATAGCTCAGTGGTAAGGCACTTGCCTAGCTTGTGCAGGCTCTGGGTTAAATCCCCAGCACCTTAAAGCAAAACCAAACCAAACACCCCAGGCCAATACTGGTGTCTTGTAGAAGTCTGAGTTATAATTGCTGACTAGTGCTGGTTATTTCCCTGGCCTATAATAAAATGAGAAAAATAAGAACAAGTTTTTTTTTTTGTGTGTGTGTGGGGGGGTACTGGGGTTTAAACTCAGGGGCTACAGTTTGAGCCACTCCACCAGCCCTTTTTTGGTGAAGGGTGTTTTTGAGATAGAATCTCAAGAACTATTTGTCTGGGCTGGCTTTGAACTGCGATCCTCCTAATCTCTGCCTCCTGAGTAGCTAGGATTACAGGCTTGAGCCACTGGCACCTGGCAAGAATAAGTTTTTTAATGAAGCTAGATATATTCCAATCCATTCTGGGATTATGACCTTACTAATTTTTGGTCATAAAATGTTTCTATGAGGAAGATAATAAAATTAGTACTTATAAATGTTGTCTTTGGGGAAAAAATAAAAATTGGTAGCTTTTGTGTGTTCCGAAAATTTGGGAACATTTTTTTTTTCTGATTGGAAAAATACCAAAGCCTATGAACTATCCAGATAAAATGATTAGATTGTTCTCAGAGTGCCATACAAATGGGGGGGCAGATCTTGCTGAACCCTTCTAATGAAGCAAATCTCAGTTAATTACAGTAATTATGCAAAGCCTGTGCAAACAATGGGAAGGGTTGTGCAGTTGTTCTCTCTCCTGTTAATCAGTCTGGTTAATAAGCTGGTTGGTAGCTTGTGCAATCCTAAATCACTGGTGCAAAAGAAGAATTCTGTGTCTAGATTCCATCATAGAGAGTGGAGTGTTAGCCAGAACTCAGTTACAGGAAACAAACTGTGAGCTATTTTAAGCCACAATGGATTTTTCTTGGGAATTGAGGGTTTATAGAATCATTAGAAGGGCTTGTGTATTTAGTTTGCTAGGACTGCCATAATGAGCAGCATAGAAATTAATTTTCTCAGAATTCAGGAGGCAAGAAGTCACAAGTCAAGGTAACAGTAGGATCAAGCCTTTCCTGTTGGCTTGTAGGTAGCTGTCTTCTTCCTGTATCTTTAGGTGGTTGCCCTTCAGTCTGTGTGCATCCATGGGCTAATTTCTTCTTCTTATAAGGACACCAGTCTTAACCGGGAGAAGTCCCATCCTTGTGACTTTACTTGAACTTAATTACTTCTTGAAAGACTGTATGAAAATAGATTCCCACACTGAAGTACTGGGGTTAGGACTTCAGTGTATGGATTTTGAGGGGCACATAATAAAGTTCTTCATAGCCATAGCTAGAGAGTGGGATTTAGGCTCAGAATCCAGAATTACTCCCAGACTAAGGCTACAGATCTGTCCCATCTAAAGAGTCACCCCTATATCGTAAGCAGCACAGTGAGAGATCAGGAAGTCATTACTGTTGCTGCTGTATCTAGGAGGGTATCTTCTGAGCTATGATCTTGAGATCAGGGGGCTGCGAACACTACCACAGTGTTGATTCTAGAGCAGGCAGCCTGAGCTCCAGTTATCACATCCACATTTCAGTTATAGGAAGGATGCTGGGCAGAAAGTAGAGCCTTTAAGGTTTTATTTCCTAGAAACATATAGTATTTCTACTCACATTCTATTGGCTGGAGTTTAGTCAACTGTCTCCATTTAGCTGAAAGGGAGGCTGGGAAATGTAGTCTTTATTCTCTGTAGCGAAATACACAAATAAAAATCTGGGAATAATCAGGGGAGTATACATTGTGAGTCAACAGCAACTTCTGCTGTAGCTTTGTAAACAGAGGTTCTGGGAGGCTTAGTAGAATAGTCAAGATAAAGCAGTCAGCAGTGGCCAAGTTTCTACTCCACAGCCCAAATGCTTGTCCCTGGGGAATGATTGCTGCCTCTTGTTTTCCTGTGAATGACTGTCACAGTGTCTGTGCTCTTGTGGATGAGTGCTGTCTCCATGGCCAGAAACACCAGTTTCTGAAGGGTTTGTATTGTAGCTGATGATTCAAAGAGCAAAAGAGATAACACGTGTCTTAAACATGCATTTAATCTCATTGCAAATATTTTGTAAGGGTTGGTCACCTGAATTCTGGAGCAAATCAAATCATTTGCTATCTTCCGACAGATCCTGCTCCAGTTTCCAACCTTCAAGGGACGAATGTCAGCCCAAGAGAAATTGGCCTAACTAGGAGCAGCAATGACTCAGAATCCTTTAAGAGTCTTACCACACAGGATGGAGCAGAAAAACATCAAAATGATACAACCAATAGCCAAAGAATTACCATGGGTGACTTAAAGCCTGGAACCAATCATAGTATTGAAATATTTCCACAAGGACCCAATGGGACTGAAGGGCCATCCCAAACAGTTACAAGTAGAACAGGTAAGCAAGTAGGCTGTGCTCTCTGTCACACTGTGATGGTTCTTGAAGGAAACCAGAATAATTTATAGATGTCATGGTTTCCAAATACTGGTTTTCATTTAGTTATCTAAAATTAAAAAAAATTCATAATGACAGTAATGCATATTCATAATATAAAATACCTGTCAGCAAAAAGAAAGCAATCACATGTAAAGTTTCAACACATAACTTTTGGTTTATGTTATTTTACATGTATTTACATGTATTTTTTCTCTTGCAAACATTGAGATCATTTTGTATATGTGATTTTGTAATCTGTTTCTTTCCCCATTAGCCAGCTTACTATGAATATTCTCTGTCAGTAGAACTATTTCTACAACATAATTTTAACATCTGCCTTGCATTCTGTTGTCTAAATAGTAATAGGCAGATAATAATGGTCTGTGGTCTAAAACTGGCCCACTATATGTTTTTGTAGATAAAGTTTTATTGGAACACAGTCATGCTCATTTTTTTATATACTGTCTTTGGCTGCTTTCATGCTAGAATTGTGCAGTAGCAACAGAGAATTTATGACTTGTAAAGTCTAAAATACTTGTTCTCTACCCTTTATAAAAAGAATGGTTTAATTTCTGGGTTAGATCACCAGTTCTTAAAGTATGCTGAAAGTGGGCTCTAGGGCCCCCCATTTTTTTCCTCTCAAGGGCTCTGTGAGGTGTGATAATCATAATAACACTGAAATGTTACTTGACTTTTTCATTGTCATTTTCTTTTCACTGTACAGTGCAGTTTTCTAGCTGCTGTATGACATGAGGGTGACATTGTCGCTGTAATGGCTATTGGAATATATGTGTATTATTCTGTATAAAAATTTTTTGGGCTGGGAGTGTGGTTCAGGTAGAGTGCTTTCCTACAAACATGAAGCCCTGAGTTCCAATCCCAGTACCACCAAATTTTTTTCCTTATTTATTTGTAACATAGTAATTATTGATAAGTATAAGCTATATAAACAAAAATTCACTGAGATTCTTAGTGATTTTTGAGAAGAAAAAAGGGTCCTGAGATCAAAAAGATGCAGAGCTGCTGCTCAAGAGATTTTGTAAGTTATTTAACTTCTTCTCTAACATTGGACAGGTAGATTATTTTTATATTTTTCATATACAACATTGTAAATCAATTACTAGTTTGATAAGGCTAATTGATATTAATAAAATTATTCTCTGAAGGTAGTTTAAATAAATCATTGAATGATTCCTAGGTAGATAAGGTTCATTATTATTATTTTTGAAATTGTGGTGCCAGGCTTAGGGCACCACCAGTGTTTCAATGACCACAGTGGTTTTGGGTGTAGGGACTACACCAGATGGTCTGCTCAGAATCTTTCACTTTTTTGGTTTATTGCTGAGTGATGTTCCCAGACAAAACTAGTCTATAAAGATTGGGACAAGTCTCTACTCCTTCATGTGCACAGACATCAGTATACATTCACAAGGATCAGTGATAATCAGGGAAACATAACATCACTAGAGAGACAAAAGAAATGGGTAGAGATGTATTGACTATCTGATAAAGAATTAAAAATAACCCTTTAGGGAAACTCATCGAACTTTAGAAAAGTAGCAGAGAAATAATTCAAAGAAATGAGTAAAACAACAAGTGACCAGAAATGAAAAATTCAACAAAGAGATTGAAATAATAAAAATAAAAAAACAAAACAAATTCTGGAGCTGAAAAATACAGTGACTGAAAGGACAGATGTACTAGAGAGTATCAGCAGCAGAGCGCATTTTGTGGAATAGAGAATCTATGAACTCAAAGGTGAGTTATTTGGAAATAATAATCAGCGAAGAAAAAAGGAATAAAAAACCAAAAGCAAAGAAATGAAGAGAACTTATGTAATATATGGGACAGTACCAAAAGAGAAAATGTTCAAGGAGACGAGGAAGATAAAAAGATAGAGAGCTTTTAAATAAATACTAGAAGAAAACTCCCCAAACTTGGAGAAAGATATAAATATCAGGTTCAGGAAGTACAAAGATGTCCAATGATATTCCATCCAAATAAGGCTATTCTACACATTATGATCAAGGCATCAAAAATCAGAGATGAGAGGATTCTGAAAGCAGCAAGAGAAAAGAAGCAAATAGCATATAAGGTAGTTCCAGTATGGCTAGCAGCAGACATCTCAGCAGAAACCTTACAGGCCAGGAGAGAGTAGGTGGATATATTCAAAGTTCTGAAGGAAACAAGGACCTGAGCTATACTCAGAACATTCCTCCAATAGCTGTACAACATACATTCTTCACCACTGCGTATGCAGGATTCTCTGGGTGCACCTCATGGTAGCCACAAAATGTAAGAATACGGAGATCATCTCAAGTATCTTTTCTAACCTCAATAGTATAAAACTAGAAATTAGCAATAAGAGCTTGAGAAATTTCACAAATATGTAGGAACTAAACAATATGCTCTTATACAACTAATGGTTCTATAAAAACTTTAAAAGGGAAATTAATAAATTTATTGAGAAAAACAAAAATATAAACAACATATACCAAAACCTGTGGAACATGGCAAAAGCAATTATAAGAGGGAGGTTTATAGAAATAGATGCCTACGTCAAAAAAGAAGAAAGGTCCAACCTCATGTTGCACCTGAGGAAAGACAAGAACAAACCGAGCTCAGAATTAGTAGAAGAAAGGAAATAGTAAAGCCTACAGCAGAAGTAAATGAAGAAGAGACTACAAAAATAATACAAAAGATCAACAAAACTGAAGTGTTTTTTTAAAAAGACAAATAGACAAACCTTTAGCTAGTCTAAGAAGAGAGAAGATGTAAATAATATCAGAAATGAACTGGGAGAATGGCTTAAGTGGTAGAGTGCCTGCCTAGCAAGCACAAGGTCCTAAGTTCAAGTCCTAGTACCACCAAAGTGGGGGTGGGGAGTAAATGAAAAAGGAGACATCACCAATGGTACAGCAATGTGAAGCACAAGAGACTAATATAAGAAATTATGTGTCAACAAGTTGGATAACCTAGAAGAAAATGGATGAATTCCTTGATACATGTGACCTACCAAGATTGAAGTAATAGAAAGTCTATGAAGAAATAGAAAATCTGAAAAGATCAGTGAGTAAGGAGATAGAATCAGTAATAAACCTCTCCTATCAGAGAAGAGTACAGGACCTGATGACTTCACTGCTGAATTCTACAAATACTTCAAGAAGAACTAAAACCAATCTGTTTCAAACAAAAAATTGAAGTGGAGCAAATACTTCTAAATTCATTTTATAAGGATAGCATTACCCCAATACAAAAAAAAAAAAAAAAGACAAGGACACCAACAAAAAAAGAAAACGACAAGCTTTGATGAAGTTAGGTGTACAAATACTTAACAAAGTACTAGAAGTCAAATTCAACATTAAATTAAAAAGACCATTCACTATAGCAGGTGGGATTTATCCCAAGGATACAAGAATGGTTCAACATTAGGCAAATTAGCAAATATCACATTGACAGAGGGAAGGACAAAACTGTATGGTCATTTCAGTAAGTGTAGGAAAATCCTTTGACAAATTAAAAAAATGTGCATTTTTTCTGAGTGGTTGAAACTTATGAACCTGTTTCCCAAACCTTTCCACACTTCCTGTATGAATTAAAACAAACAAACAAACAAACAAACAAAACAAAAAACCTTTAGTTCTTAACATGTTTCTCTTGCTTGAAAATGGTGCATAGGCTTCTTCATGGAGCCGTGAGGTATAAATGGAGAAAATGCTGTAGAGCATCTGGTATAGGGAGCTACTGTTCTTGATACTTCCATCATAGTAGCTGCTATTTTAACATTATTCTCATCACCATCATCATTGTTGATTGTAAATGGCAACACTCCAATGATAATCTGTCAAAAATACTGCTCGGACACTGTGAGCTTACCACTTTATAGAGGAAGACCATGTGTGGGAGGGGCTTCTTGGCATGAAGTTTGTTGACTTGTGGGACAAAAAATTATATCTTGCTTGTTCCGTTTTCCATTTTATTTCTTCTCCTGCCTTTTTTTCATCAGTTGGATAAACATTTGCATCTTCTAAGCTGGGTGAATTGGTGCACACTGTCCATGCTCATGCCTAGATGGTGTTACTTGCACAGTTTTGACTCCTCCCAGATCTTTCTCGAGTTCCTTGAGAATAAGGGCCTTATTGCCTATATTTTATTCTGTTTCTGGTTATTGGTCCTCAGTCCTAAATTTAATCAGGACATGTCCATTTGGTAGTTTCACTGTCAATAACCATAACCACTTCTATTGGTATAAATTCCTTTTATCTTCAGTATTACAGATGGCAAAGCTGATGCTCAGAGAGGTGAGATGACTTTGAGTAAAGTTACAAGGCTAGTGATGAGCAGGATTAGAGTCTGAACCCAGATTTTTAAATCTCCATGTCTGGTAATCATGTTTATCTCCTCATGGTGATGCAATACTAACCTGTTACATTTGGTATGTTGTGTCAACAGAGAAACCTGAGGCTGAGTGTATTTAAGGGACTTACTCCAGGTCACTCAGCATATGGGTGGAACAGGTGTGCAAGTATAGATTTGGATTCTAAGAGGTGTCTAGTATTTATGCTGTCCTGCCCCATGCCACCTTTATGTCACAAAGCTGCTGAGCATCTTTCTGATGTAGGGTTTGGAAAATGTTACCAGATGCTTCACGTCATAATAAGCAGAGTTTTCTGAGAATTGGGAGATAGGCTAATTTTTCATCTTAGGGATTTTTTGGTGTTAGCTTCTGTATAGATTTGATCCCATCATGTTATAGCCAACATGGTCATCTTCTATCAGTTTTGCATCTGTTCTAAAGACTTCTGTTTCTCTAACTTACTCACTTTCTCTCTCTCTCTCATATTTAAATAAATTTTGTTTCAGGGAAGTCTAAGAGGCAAATGAAGAGAAATAAAACTCTGTGATTGTGAAATTCACTTCTGGAAAGTACACATAGAGAGCAGACTTTACTCTTGCATTTGGTTTTTAAATATAATTTTTCTTTTTTCTTTTCCTTGAAAACAACATTTAAATAGCACTCAGTCCTGTGTTTGACATTGAAGCTGTTTTTGTTAGTCCAACCAATGTGGTCCTGACCTGGAAAAATGATCCAGCTGCTTCAGAGTACATGTGTACTGTAAAGAATCAGATGGAAATGGATCGGATGGTTACCGTTAGAGATCAAAAAGTGTGTAACATCACAGGCTTAAGTCCAGCCACCTCCTACACATTCTCCATAATTCCAGGAACAGGCAATGGGACTTGGGGAGATCCCACGGTCAAAAATGTTACAACAGGTAAGGTGAAGGCTTCCAGGGATGGTCATGAACCATTTCTTAGTACCTATCCTAGAACCTTGTCTATTCAGGTTGCCAGTTAGAAAGAGATTTGTTTTCATATGCTAGGAAAGGAGAAAAAGTACTGAGCAGTGTCACCTCAGGAGTTCCAGGTGGCTAGATCCTTCAGGATTAAGGTCCTATGTATTTTTGGAAGCCTTAACTATTTTCAGCTGTTTTGTTTTAAAAAAATTCTGCTATTTTTGATCAGACCTACTTTTTTTTTGCTAAGACTTAAGAGTGGAGAACTCATTAGAAGTATGATTCAGTGATGTCAGAAAGCTCTCCAGGAAATTGGTGCTGTGTTTATATTCATGGGTGTTTCTTTGGGGCAGGAAAGTTTGGTAGACTTTATAGAAAAATGCATGTTTGAAATGAAATAAAAACATTATGCCATTTAGACTTAAGATCAGGCAGCTGAGACTTAGTTTAGTGTTGGTACCCTACGCCACTTATTATTATAGCTGTAAATCTGTCTTTGTAAGCTGGAAAGAACCAAAAAAAAAAAAAAAATTAAAAGTACCCAAAAATGAGCATGTCTTTTTAAGGTGAGAAGGAAGGACTGGAGGAGTGACTCAAGTGGTAGAGTGCCTGCCTAGCAAGCACGAGACTCTTGAGTTCAAACCCCAGTATCACCAAAAGAAAAACCAAAAACCTTAAGGTGAGAAGAACAAAGAGGCCCTCTATTTCTTTTCTGGATGTGTATGAGGGAGGGAAAGTGGAGAGAAGAAGGAGAGGAGGAGAGACGAGAGAGGAGAGAAGACCTTTGATCTTATTGACTGGTGAAGCCTTTGGCCCAAGGTGAGCTGGGTCCAGCTGGCATAACTTCCCTCTGGACGTGTAACATACAAACACAAAACCAATGGCTTTTAACGTTTAAAAAAATTTAGCCAGGAGACTATTTCTTTAAATAAAATCTTGCTCCAAAGTCCAACAATAAAAACCAGAGAGAAACGAGCCACACAGGCCACAGGGATGAGTCTCACAGGCACCTTTACACAATCTCCCCAGGCTCCACAGAGCTCAAATTTAGAAGAAGAAGAGAAAAAAAACCCAAAACACAACACAGTAAGAACTGGCTGTGTTGCATTGTGAAAAAGAGAAGAAAAAGAAGAGAGCAGAGAGATGATGGTAGAGAATTAATGAGGAAAAAGAATGCAGAATTTAGAGATGAAGATGGGGGCAAGAAGATAGAGAGTTGGTGACTTCAAAGAGGAGGTGGGGGGTGGTGGGAGATACCCAGAGCAGGAGCCTCCTTATCTACCTTTGAGCATGGTAGGCAAGTGCTCTACCACAGAGATACACCCCCAGCCCTAAAGGACCACTGTAAAGAACAGCTTCAAATCACTGTTGGGGTTAGTCTCAAAGAATAGAACAAATCCTAAGTAATTTTGGTTTTGAAGTTTATTTCCTCTGCTTTTCTGCATGTTGTTTTCTCCCCACTGTGAAATGATGCAAATGTATTAGACTGTGGTGTCAATGAAGTGTTTTTAGGGTGTCACATTGACATATCAGTGAGCTAATGAAAGATGACTACAAATATTTTGTTTCATTAATGTTCATTATGTATTTTTAAAACAGAGCCCTATCCGGTGTCTGATCTTCGCGTTGCCTTCATGGGTGTGACACAGGTTGTTCTCATCTGGAGCATTGACAATGGCACTGCGTCCTGCCGGATGCTTCTTGAAAGCACTGGAGACCAAGAAGGGTTTATTCAGGCCTTGGCAGTCAATGTTTCAGAACTAAAGCCAGGGTTTCAAAAAATTACCTGGCACCCTTCAGGATTAGGTAAGACACAGAGAGAACCCCTGGCTACTGAAGGTGGCTTGGGTGAGTTACAAAAGAGTACATTTTGGTTTTGACTTTCAGTCATTTAATAGTATTTAAAAATATTGTCCTTACGATTGCATAAGGTTTTTTCCCTCCGTATTTTAGTTTGATCCTACACCTGCGTGAAGAAGGAGGGAAGCGGGTTCTTATTTTACAGGGGAAAACATTGAGGTTCAGAATGGCAATAGGGCTTGAATCTTTTGGAGACTGGAATCCAGGAAGGTGGATGACGGGTCTTTTTGCTTTTATCTTTCCATTGAACAAATAACAGCTGGGTTAAGCTAAGTAAGGTTATTGGAGGAACTTGCCACATCCATTGGGAAACAGGATGCATAGCAGGCAAATCTAGCAGGTGTCCTAGCATCTAGCAGGTGGTAGAGGAGTCATTTGCAGATGTCATAGCATTTCCAGTGGATTCTTATGATAACTTTGTGAAACGAAGAGTCCAAGTACTTAATTTGCATTTTATACCTAAGGAAACAGACCTACAAAGTGGGTGTTAGGATTCTAGATTGCAAGGCACAGACAGAAACCAGACTTTAAACAGCTTAGGCTTTAAAGAGTGATGAATGGCACATGTATATTTCTCCGCTATAGGCAGTGAGGCCTTAAAGAAAGAGATGGATTAATTCTCATCTCTTCTTCCTGCTTCTTTCTGTGTATCAGCCTTGTCCTCAGAGTGGCTCCCTGCACACAGCCCAAGAAGAAATGGCCACCAGATGTTCTCATTTTACACCCTGCTGCTGCCTTACTGGCTGAGGTCTGGTCCAAGGAAAGCATTCCTTGAATGGACTTTGAGTAGCTAAGATTGAATCAGGGAGCTGTTCATGGAAATCATGTTGGGATGGGAGAAGATAATATTTCAAAGAAGGGAGAACTGTTCAAAATAGCAGAGTTGAGAGAAAATACAAAATATCTGTAGTGTAACTGAAATAATTGTACAATATAAAATATCAGATCCTTTTCAAGAGACTGGAACTCTCTCTGGAGGAGGAAGGGGTCAGATATTTATGGAGTGCCAACTGTGGGCACTGTTGCATGCGTCATTGTATGGGATGGAGCACTGAAAGATGGGGGATGTGTTTCTCATGTGGTTGATGTCTTTGCTTCCTGTGCTCAAAACAGATACCAACAATACAGAGACAAGCCCAGTGGTGAGCCCTGCAGGCCCTGCAGATCTATCCTCTGGCCAGGAGTCTCAAGACACGGAAGTCCTGCTCATTGGGTTAGAGCCTGACATACAGTACAGGGCCACTGTTTATTCTCAAGCAGCAGATGGCACAGAAGGACAGCCCCAGGCCATCTTTTTCACAACAAGTATGTTGAATTTTGTGAAATTGCTTCAGCCGGAGACTCAGCTTGTTCACAGTTTTATTTTCTATGATTCTGGCAAAAGTATGTTGATTAAACTTTTTTTTTTTGTAGCATTGGGGTTTGAACTCAGGGCCTCACTCATGCTGGGCAGGTGCTCTACCAATTGAGCCAAACCCCCAGCCCTGTTTTCTATGATTCTGGACCTGAGTTATTTCCTGCTTAGCATTCTGTTGTCAGAGAGAGTTTTCTGGAAGAGATTTTCTGGAAGAGATTTTGGATAGGGCAGACCTGCTGAGTTTCTTCTTGCCTGTGTGGCCATGGCACACCATCTTTCATGAAGTTCAGTGAAACATATGGAGCAGCTACTGTGTATAGCTGGGTCCTGCCTTGTGTCTGTTTGTCTGTCTTATCTCTGGAAATCTGCCAAAGAGACAAACAGCTATAATATTTTTCTTTTGTGTACATAGTCATTGGTTGATTTTTTTCCCCCTAGAAATAAGAAAATGAGTTTCTCTTTTTTGGTCTGCCCTTATGATTCGTATTGCTCTTTCTGTCAAAACCCCTGTTGATATGCACATTGTTAGCTTGATTCATCAGCTCTCCCACTCTATGGATTGGGCAATATTTGGAGACCTTTTGGATCAGTGCTAATGAGGGAACAAAGAAATGTAGGGTTCCTACCTAATATAGATGGGGAGTTGAGACAAACATGCATGAAAAAGCACATGGGGAGGGGAGCAGGTAGTTGTAAGAGAGCTGCTTGATCTCAGGGGTCCTCAGTGACACAGTGGCAGTGGTGGGGGGTGGCTCTCCTCTGTGGAGTGCTTGGGTTTCCATAGGGTAAGAAAGGGTTGAGGAGGACACTGGGCTTCTCCCAGGTGTGTGGGCAGTGGTGGGTTGTCCTACACGTGAGAAGCTTGTGTAAGAGGGTGAACAGGGATGAAAACTCATTCCTGTGCTTCTCACCAAGCCAGGTGTCCCAGGCTGGGTCCATTCAGAGGAAGGACTCTCTTTGCCTGATTTCTTTTTACAAAGGTCATGTGGTTTAGTGTGGGCCTTTGATGCCTGTTTTTTAAAGTGATTTGAGCAAAAGTAAAGTAACAGTAATTGCATCTTACACTGTTGGTGGTCTCAATATATTTTTGTGTTGAAGTGTCTTAGGGCTTGATAAATAATTACAGTAGCTGTACTTGCTACTCTGTGTGTGTTTGGCTACATATGTACATATGTCTTAGTTTTGGCGACTATGACAAATTGCCATAGACGGACAGCTTACACAATAAATACTTATTTCTCATAGTTTTGGAGGCTGGAAGGAAGTCTGAGATTGGGGTGCAGCATGGTCGGCTTCTGATTGTGGACCCTGTTCCAGGTTGTAGACACTGTGTCCTCACATGGCTGAAAAGATGATTACTAATGATAATGGCACTAATGAGTGTACTTGATAATGACACTAATCACATTTATGAGGCCCCACTTCCTAATACCATCAACTCAGCAGTTAGGAACATAAACATTCAATCCATAGCAACACACACGTATACATTTGTATACACATACATATGTACAGTACATATACACACACAGCACCTGGCATTTTTCAAGTGACTGGTTAGGTGGGGCAGGGTTCCGGAAACCATCAGAGGATATTGAGGTGCCTAAAATGAGCCAGTGTTCAAAAGCCACCTCCAAGGCTGAAGGGCCACAGAAGGAGATGGTTTTTTGGAGCCTAGTGAGAGCTGAGCCAGTTTGGGGGGTGGGGAGGTGGGCACAGCTATGCCAGGACATGCAGGATCAAAGGAAGATCTGACTGCTCACCTGCCAGCCTGTGCTCACTAGCTCACCTCGGTCACTTGTTGGTGGAGTCTGCTCGCAGGCCATGTGGCAGGGCCCTCATGATGACTTGTGTAACCTCCTGGGGCACAGAGCAGGCAAGAGAAAGATAAAGGATGAACAGGGAGGGTAGGGAGAGTAAGTGGCAGATAATTTGTCTGTGCCTATGTTAGCTTTACTTGAGGTGAGGACCGTTATCCTCATTCTACAGATGAGAAGACTGAGCTCAAGTGATTTCCTTAAGTTCTACCTGGCTATTACAGCATAGTTAACCTTAGAACCCAGAAATGCCTCCTGTCCAAGTGTGTGGCCTTAAATTGATCATGTATAGTGTTCATTCCTGAGAGGATAAGTGCTTGAGGACTTTTTGTGGGTCACTGTCACACCCAGGGCATGTGAAGAGTCCACATTATTGTTCATTGAGGAGTCCGTCATACCTCTAAAGGTTAACTCACAAAATAGAACAAAGAGTATCTATGTAGGTACAGTTGGTGATGCCTAACTTAGGCAGGGACTCTGCACATTTCCAGTCACGGTTAGATGGTGAAGCAGTTAGATGAGGGAGCAGTTGCTAAGTGTGCTTCCTAGGCTTCATGCATACTCTGATGACAACTTTCTCTGGCTTGGTCATTCTAGTTATTTTTCACTGCTCTTGTGTCTTCACAGATTCTGCTCAGGTTTATGATATCAAAGTTGTGAACATCAACGCCACATGTATGACCCTGACCTGGAAAATCAAGAATAATGGGTCATCCCGTATCTATACCTATGAGGTACATGTGGCTGGGGGCACCAATTCCTTCAACCTCACTGTTGATCAGACTCCTCATGTCATCTGTGGACTCCGTTCGAGCACTTTGTATAACATCACAGTGCATCCTTTCCTGGGAGATACCGAGGGCACACCGGACTTTCTCCAAGTGTACACCCGTGAGTTCACTTGTTGCTCTGGCTAACCTTTCTTGCAAGTCTACCATGGGCCAGGCCCAGATACAAGACAAGGAAGCTGTGTTCCTGTCTTGAAGGAATGCACGGAACAGCATGTGGGTGCACAGGGACCCTTGCCCCCTTCCAGATGTGAGATGTGATAACAGTGATCATTGGTTGACCCTAACTACATCCTCAGTGTCTTGTCATGTGCTTTCTTTGCACTTTCTCTGAATGCTCATGAAATCCCTGTGACTTGGTTGGCATTAGCCTTCTTTTATGGATGAGGAAGCCAGGGTTGAGAAAGATGATGTAGGCTGTTGTCACACCTTGTAAGTGACAAAGGTGAGATTAGATCTGTGGGAAGCTCAATAATGCATTCAAGATAAAGCAGCCAGCAACAGCCAAGTTTCTATTTCAGAGCCTGAGCCCTTGACCATGACCCAGGGGAGTCTTGCCTCCTCTCATTTTCCATGAGTGCACGGTGTCTGCACTCTTGTGGACATGTGCTCTCTCCATGGCCAGAAACACCAGTTCTGAGGGGCTTGTGTTGTAATGATCCAAAGAAGAGCAAAAGAGAGAACTGATGTCCTAAATGTGCATTTACCCTCAGTGTAAATACGAAAATGCACATTTTTTTTTCCTGGTGGAGCTGGAGTTTAAAGTCAGAGCTTCACACTTGCAAAGCAGGTACTCTATCTCTTGAGCCACACTTCCAGTCCATTTTGCTGTGGTTATTTTGGGGATGGGGGTCTTGTGAACTATTTGCCTGAGCTGGCCTTGAACTTCTGTCTTTCCTATGTCTGCTTCCCAAGTAGCTAGGATTATAGGCATTAGCCACTGGTGTCCAATTCAAATGTAAATATTTTTTGAGAGTTGGTTACCCCTATGTTTTGGAGATAGAGATTTTTTTTGGTGGTCCTGGGGTTTGAACTAGGGCTTCATGCTTGCTAGGCAGGTATTCTATTACTTGAGCCACTCCACCAGCCCTTTTTCATGCTGGGTGTTTTTGAATAGGCTCTGTCAAACTATTTCCCTGGTCTGGTTTTGAATCGTGGTCCTCCTGATCCCAGCCTCTCGAGTAGCTAGGATTATAGGTGTGAGCCACCAAGCATCCAGCTTTTTCTTTACTTTTTTTTTTTTTTTCCACTTTTGAAATAGGTATTGCTTTGTAGCCTCAGCTTGTTTTAAACTTGAAATCCTCTTGCCTAAGATGCTCAAGTGCTGGGATTACAGGTGTGCCCCACTTCACCTGACGAGGAGATAGAGATAACTTAATCCAATCTTTCATTATCTTTCCACAGCACCTGGGCCAGTTTCTAACTTTCGAGTGATGAATGTCACCCCAAGAGAAATTAGCCTGTCTTGGAGCAGCAATGACTCAGAATCTTTTAGGATTCTTACCACACAGGATGGAGCAGGAACACATCAAAATTATACAACTAACAGCCAAGGAATTACCATCGGTGATTTAAAGCCTGGAACCAATTATAGTTTTGAAATATTTCCACAAGGGCCCAATGGGACTGAAGGGCCATCCCAAACAGTTACAAGTAGAACAGGTAAGCAAGTAGGCTGTGCTCTCTGTCACACTGTGATGGGTCTTGAAGGAAACCAGAATAATTTATAGATATCATGGTTTTCAAATACTGTTTTTCATTTAATTATCTAAAATTTAAAAAAATTCATAATGACAGTAATGCATGTTCATGATATACAGTATTAACAAGAAAAAATTCACATGTAAGCCATCAATTAGAGTTAATTGTGATACAATTTTTAGATATATGTATATGTAGATTTATAACTTTTACAAACCTTGAAGTAATTTTGTTCATGTAATTTTGTAATTGCCTTTTCCAACATAACAGTTTCTAATGAACATTTTCCCCTACCAGTATAAGTATTTCTATAGAATAATTTATCAGCTGCCTCATATTCCTTTGTCTATATATCAGGGCTGATTGATAATAATGGCCCATGGGCCAAAACTGACCCACTGAGTGTTTTGTAGCTGTAGTTGTATTGGAAACTGTAATCATACTATGCTCATTCTTTTAGTGTGCTGCCAGTGGCTGCTTTCATGCTGGACCTGAGTGAGAACAGTGGAAAACATGTGGCTTGCAAGTTTTGAAATACTTAATTCTCTGACCCTTACAGAAAAATCTTTCTGACCTGTGGGCTAGATGAGTGGTTCTCAAAATGCAGTCCAGGATTCACACAGGTTCCCTAGTGAGGACTCATTCAGTTCTTGCGCTCAAATGCCGTTGGCTAGAACCACGTGACAAAAATGAGACCCACTCATCCCCTCCAGTGTATATTGGAGTTTTCCAGAAACCCCATGGGACATTGTCACTCTAATGGCTAATGGAATGTATGCTTGTGTATTTTTTCTTTTTTATTTAATTTTAAATTTCTTACTAGGATATATTCATTGTATAGGGAGAGGATTTGTTGTGACAATCGCAAATAGGCTCATATTGTACATTGGTTAGATCACCCCCACCATCTCTCCCCCTTGACACCCTCCCCGCCCCACTTCAAGCAATTGCAAGAGGTTTCATTGTTCTGTTTCATATAGGTATATGAAATGCATCATCCATGTTCCTTCACCTTCATCTCCTTTGTTCTCCCTCCCCCTCCCACAAGTACCTCCCCACATATGCACTGTATCAATTTTATAGTCTTGTCTTTCAATATTAATTTCTGAGTCAATGTTCAAAGGAGCTTGTTGATGTATTCTGTCTGTGATTATACTTTACTTTGGCCCATTCAGCCATTTCCGTTACTCTCCCTTACCCCTTCTCTCCTACCCAATCCCCCTCTTTTTGACAGTTTTCAATACATTTCATTATGTCCTCTACCTTCACAGATGTTGTTTTATGTTATTGTTGACGCTCTTTCTCTTTTCCTTTCCCGCCTTCCCCAAGTTCCATAGAGTAGTTCTAGTATTACAAACATGTTCTACATATGATCTTGAATATCTTTTTCTTCTTTCTTTTTGGCAGTACTGGGGTTTGAACTCAGGCCCTTGTCCTTGCTAGATAGTTGGGTTACTACTTGAGTCACTCTACCAGCCCTTGTGTATTCTTATGTTTAGAAATTTTTCTTATTCATTTGTAATAAGAGTAAACATTGATAAATATAACCTATAGAATCAAAGATTCTCTGAGATCCTTAATGATTTTTAAGAAGGTAAAGAGATTCTGAGACCAAAAAGTTTAAGAATTGCTGGTCTCGGTGCCTCACGCCTGTAATTGTAGCTACTTAGGAGGCAGAGATCAGGAGGATCAAGGTTCGAAGCCAGTCTGGGCAAATAGTTCGTGAGCCCCTATCTCAAAAAACCCTTCACAAAAATAGGGCTGGTGGAGTGGCTCAAGGTGAAGGCTTTGAGTTCAAGGCCCAATACACCACCTCCCTCCCCCACACAAATTGCTGGTCTAAAGGGTTTGTAAATTATTTATCTACTTTTTGAATGTGGACTCCTTCATGTTGGGCAAGTTGATTATTTACAAGCATTTAGAAACAACTTTGTGATACAATAGTTTTGTTAGTTCTGTAAGGCTAATTGATAAAATTATTTTACAAAACAGTTCAAATAAATCATTGAATTATTCCTGGGCTAGTAGGAGAAACTTTGGGGGAATTCCTAGGTGTAGCTAATGTCATTATTATTGTTTTTAAAATTTGAAATAATTTTTTTATAAAGTGTAGACAACATATAGTAAGTATCCCTTGATTTTTGATTGTGAAATAATTGACCGCCTTTGTACCGAGGGGAAGAATAAAGTCATGAGGGGGTTCTTTGAATCATACATGAAACCCACTGAACTTTTCAGTCTCCTGATGGAGGTTTCCTTAACACTGTTGGTTGGGTAAAGTGTTGATACTCACTGCAAAACATTGAAACTCAGCTTCTAAAATAAGGGAACTGACAGAACATATCCCTCAGGTGGTATTCAGTAATCCCCCTTCAAGTCTGCATTTTAGGATGGGATTGTTGAGATCAGGGCTTGATAACAGCGTGTTTCTTCTCTGTTTTTATGCATGTTGTAGAGAAGAGGATCACCACTGTGCAGAGCACTTGATATTGTGTGATTAGCTAATGCTCAGTTTAATGTAATAATACAAGTGCTGGGTGCTGTTATGCTTAAGTTGTTAACACAGTTTCATTGGGAAGGTCCTATTATCATCTCTGACAGAGTAGGATATGGGGCTCTTTGAGCTTTAGTAACTGGCCCAAAATGCCAAGGTGGCAGACTGGTCTCTTACCTGGCATCTGAGACTAAGGGTAGAGCCACCATGTGGGTGACACTGTGATGTGATGCAGTTGCAAAGCAGTTTTGTGTTGATGAGGAGACAGCAGCCCTTCTACGACAGCCTAGATGGGTCCCATGGAACTGACATCAAGGAGGCTTGAAGTAAGGTCCTAGATGCCTATTGAATAGCTGTAATTATAATTGGAAACAATCAGTTTAACAGTGTGAAAGGCAGTTTTGAAAAAGGGACACAAATGCCAGTAACCCAGAAATTCCATTTTTAAGTATATTGGAAAAGAAAATGACAGAGTGAATGATATTGAAATACATTGCATCTGTGTAGGAATAAGATACAGCAAAACACATTGAATGCCAGGGTAGGGGGAAAAAGTAAGGAAGAGTAACAGAGGGGTTAGACTAATTAAAGTGCAATATATTTACAGGTGAAGTATCAAGGAAAAATAACAATGACCAGGCACTTAAACAATGAAGGGCAGGAATGTAAAACAGGACATGTTAAGGGAATGTTAGTGGGAGGGGGAGGGTAAATGAAGAGGGTAAAGGAGTGTGGATATGGTCAATGTGCTTCCTATACATGTATGAATATGGAACATTGAAACAGGTCAAAGTCATTTCAAGAAGGGGGAGGAGGGGAAGAGAGAATAATGGACAGGATGAAACTAAGTGGGGTACAATGTATGCATATATAGAAATGCCACAGTGAAACTGTCTGTACAACTATTTCATACTAAGAAAAGCATTAAATAAAAGAATTGAAAGTAGCTTTTCAAAACAGTTATCTGCATACCAATGTTCATAGCAGAATTATTCACAATAACCAAAATGTGGGAACAACTCAGTGTCTATTGACTGATGAATAAATAGAAAAAATTTGGCTTGTTCATAAATAGAATATTATTCAGCCATCAAAAGGAATGAAATACTGATGTAGACTATAGCATGGATGACTCTTGAAAATATGCTAGGTGAAATACGCCAAACTCAGAAACAAATAAAAACTAATAATTCTACTTACATGAGGTACCTAGGATAGGTAAGTTCACAGAGACAGAAAGGGACTGAGGTGTGGGAATTGGAAAGTTTTGTTTAATGGATACAAACCTTATATTGAAAATGATGAAAATGATGGGGTATGATAGTGGTAATGTGTATTCAACACCAAGAATATATTTAATACCACTGAATTGTGTACTGACAGATGGTTGAAATGATAAATATTGTTATGTGTGTATAGACACCTACATGTATGTATATATATGGTCTCTGTATGGTACTTGGGCTCGAACTCATGGTCTCAAGCTTGCTAGGCAGGTGCTCTACCACTTAAGACACACCTCCAGACTTTTTTCCTCTGGTTATTTTGGAGATAGGGTCTTACTTTTTGCTCAGGCCAGCCGCACTGTGAGCCTCCCATTTTAAGTTTTCTGCTGTGATTGGGATGACAGGCAGGCACCACATGTCCAGCTTTTTCCCATTGAGGTGGGGGGTCTGATAATTTTTTTTTACCTGGGCTGGCTTAGAACCGAAATTCTACTGATCTTAGCCCCCCAAGTAGCTAGGATTACAGCCACCAGCACCTGATTAAAAAATAGGAATCTTTTTTTCCTTTTTTTTTTTTTTGGCAGTACTAGGGTTTGAACTCAAGGCCTTGAATTTCCTAGGCAAGTGCTCTACCACCCATGCCCCTAGCCCTGTGTTATGTATATTTTACCACAATAAAAAGAAAGGGAAGCAAATATAACTGTACTCTTCTAACTCAATGAGTCATATATTTTGTTCACATCATTGTAATTATTACACTAGTAATTTTATTTTATATTTGAACCTTTTTTTAACTTGGGGTATCCCACAATTCCCCCCGCCCCACCCCAAAGTTAGTATGATAGTCATGTTTTTACTGAATGCAGAATATTTCATTATGTAGCCACATCATGGTTTATACAATTCCCCCTTTTACCCCCTTTTTTTCTGGAGTATTTGGGTTACTTCTAGTGTTTTTATGTTTAGAGAACAAAGCTTCCTTTTGTGATCTTTTGTCTGTGGAATGCCTTTGATACCAGGAATCTGGTGGTAGAAAAGGAAGACTCTCCAAGCTGTTCCCTTTAAGAACCTATTTAAAAAAATTAATTTTGGCATAGATAGTACATGCACATGGTACTTTTGCAGTGAAAATGTTTCTGTTTCTTGTCATTTAACCACCCAATTCCTATCCTTGGAGGTGACTGGTTACCAGGTAAAGAAAGGAGGGTTTTGAGAGCAAGGGCAGAGAATTCCCCTGCTTACATCTGGGTTTGCATGTGAGCATTCACGATTGAGCATGAGGAGGTGAGCAGACTTGAGCACAGGTTCTTGAGGCCAACTTGGCTTCTGACTCCCAGCTCTGTAGTTGGAGGGCACACAGTTTTTCCTCCTTCCTCATGTGACCTCAGATGCGCCAAGTTAGTAAAAGTCAACTCTCCATTTCCATTTTCCTCTTCAGTGTGCCAGGCTGTGACACAGGAGTGCATTTTATTTTGAGTGAATGACTTATAAAAAACCAAACACACTCTTCATTGAGATGTAATGTACATATCAAAAGCTGACTAGTTTAATGAATTTTCACAAACCAAAAGCATTGGGTTACTAACTCAGATTATGAAACTGAATGTGATTTCCATTCCAGATGACCCCCAGGGGGGTCATTTTTATAACAAAAGCAAAAGGCCAGAGAGTTGATAAGGTGAACTGGTAAGTTCATCCTTGTCATGGCAGAGCTAGGATTCTTGAAAGAACTGAGCATGTGTATTTCTCTGCTCAGTTTAGGGCTTGCCCTTTGTGAACTCATTGGAGAGTTTGATAACAGAAGAGCAGTTTCTTTTTGCAACCACTTTGAAATGAAACTGAATATCATGATGATCATGTAAGGATTTCCTTTTTCCTCCCTTTCCTCTGACCAGACCCCAGTATGGTGTTTGACATCCATGTCGTCAGTGTCATCACCACTGAAATGCATTTGGAGTGGCGGAATACAGACAACTCTTCTGACTATATCTACCAATTGGTTATACAGTCTGAGTATGGCTCCAACAAAATGAACAGTTCTGAGAAAGCCGTCATTCTTCAGAATCTAATCCCGGGCACTTTATACAATGTCACAGTCTTTCCAGAAGTGGACCAGGTCCAGGGGATCTCTGACTCCATTGCCCAGTACACACGTAAGTCTCTTAGGATGCCCTTCCAGGGGAGATTCTCTGGGTCTTTTGCTTTGATGAAGCATGGTTAAATGATGGTGTAAGGGTCCATTGTGTTTCTGGGCTTTAGGTTGACTTTGAAGGTGCTTAAATTGAAAACATCAGCCTCAGCCCTCCTGGGACACTGTGGTTGAAATCATGCAAATGTGGAATTTCTTGAGAAGGAGAAAGTGACTCATCCCATGACAATGGAGAACATTTCTGTTCCATTTACTCCTTGGGAGTACAGACTAGAGCAGCTCACCTTGTTAGAAGATCCTCCTCCCTGGCGCTTGGCCTGGGACAGTGAGGGAGAGATTTTACTAATTCGAACTAAGTACATGGTAGAGATGTCAGTTTATTGTATATTTTTCCTCTTTCATCAGTAAGATTCCAAAAACAGGTTGGAAATTAGATCTTAAAATATTCAGGATAAACTTGAATTACTAAAAGAATCTTGAGAAACTTTCCTTTTTTCTGATTTAATCTGTATTTTCTCCCATCCAAGCACTAACGAGGCCTGACCCTTCTTAGCTTCTGAGATTAGATGAGATCGGGCACATTCAGGGTGGCTATAGACGTAATCTGTATTTTCTGAATGTCTTTTTTGGGGAAGTCTTCTATCTTTTGAGCTAGCAAATACTGGCTTTATTCATTTTTTTCCTGAAGAAGCTAGGCTACTTTTGGATGTAGTAAATAAAATAATCCTGGAATTCAAGCTAGTCCATGCTTTTACTTAATTGTTTTTTTTTAAATTTTTTTTAAAGGGCCCAGCAGTGTGTTCAACATTGAAGTAGAGACCAACACCACAGCAGCAGCCATTCGCTGGAAGAGCGTGGATGCTGCTGCTCCCACATATTCCTACTGCGTTGTTGTCACACAGGCTGGAAATGCCAGCAACACAACTCAAGTGATCACTGTTATGAATGTCACTTTTGTGACAGTTACTGGGTTAACATCTGGCTCGTCTTACATAGTGGAGATCTTTGCACAAGTGGGGGCTAATGTTAAGTCACTGGTACCTGGCTGGCAGTCGTTCTGTACAGGTGAGTAGCTCTAAATGCCTAGATTAGAAGTGGGGGTCTAAGCAATTGGTCTCCTTGGGCCCTGGGCCTCTGACCTTTCAGTGGGGGGAGGCTAAAGAATCCCTGTGGCCTCTAATCACTCCTGCTCACTGGGCTGCATCCCACATGGCCAAGATACTGACCTTTAGTACTTGGGTGGCTTCCATTGGTAATACCTATCATATTATCTGTAGTTATTTCAGCCTGCAGCAAGAGAAAAAAATTTTATATGAGCATTTATGGCTGGAACAGGAGCTGTCAGAGTGGGTGCACTGGGCATGTTACCTACAAGGTCCCAGGGGAAAGTGTGGGAGCTGCAGCAGGTGACTGTGAGAGCTTTCCCTGCTCTAGAATCATGAGATATTAATGATAACATTCTTCCACTGTGTTAATACAGTTACCCATTGGCATCAGTTTGATGTTGGCCCTCAAGAAAACTATTGGTTCTCAGATGAGTAGAGACAAATACCATCCCATTTTTAAGATGAAGGTGCTGTTTCCATTCACCGTGGATTAGTCAGCTCTTTGCTTGAGTAAACTTGGATTTAGAAAATCTGGAGTACAGTTCTGGCTTTGCCACTCACCATATGTCATCTTTTGCAAATTATTCACCTTTGCTAAGGCTCAGTATGAGCCTTACCTGCTTCAAAGGGATTGTCAGGAGGGCCCCAGATGGGGAAATGCAGGTGAAGAGGTTGCTACTACTCAGTGAGAGGCACTTCTTGTGGAGCCCATTTATTTTCTGGGCATCTTGCTCAGTGACTGACACATAGTGTTTCATTTAATTCTCAGTGCTGTTAAGCCTCAGAGTAGTTGGGTGACCCAATGTGGTATTGCGCATTTAAGGTCAGTCAGCGCCTCTTCCAGCAGGTTTCACGTTCCTTCTTTATCATGAACTCTCCATGAACCTTGTGCCATGCTGTTCTTGCTTTGCAGCTCCCGCACCAGTGACCTCCTTCCAATGTGAAGTGGTTCCCAAAGAACCAGCCTTGATTCTGAAGTGGGCCCGCCCTCCTGGCACCAACACAGGTTTTGAGCTGGGGGTAAGCAGTGGAACCTGGGATAACATGACACGCCTGGAAAGCTGTGCCTTGGAGAATGGCACTGAGTGCAGGACAGAAGTTACTTGTTTGAATTTTTCTACCTCGTACAACATCAGCATTGCTACCTTGTCCTGTGAAAAGATGGCACCCCCCACTCAAAGCACCTGCACCACCGGCATCACAGGTGGGCTCCATGGCAGGGAGGGCAGCTGTGCTTGGAGAGGCTAAGCCAGTAGGCCTGCAGTGTGGCCCAGAAATCCTTTTTTTGTTGTTTCTTTCCCCTAAAGTCTTAATTTTTATTGGCAGATTGGTATCCCATTCCATTCCATAGAAATCCAGTCAAAAAAGCAGAGTGGAGGGAATCATTTTTAACAGTTTGGTTGCTTTACCAAATAGCTTATTGCCATGCTTTGTTTTAAGTAGAGAGTTCCCTTACTGCATTTTAAAAAAGCATTTTTATAAAAATGTTCAAATGTACACAAAGTGGAGGACAGTATGATGAAACTCATGCATCTGGTCAGAACTTGGTTAATCCCATTCTTTTTACATTCCCTTCTCCTTCCCCTCATAGGGTTACTTTGAAACTCCTTCTAACCATAATATATTTGTGTTTGCAAATATTCAGCATTTATTGCTTCAAGACAAGTGCTCTTTTTTTCTTTCTTTCAAACACAGCCACATTAATATGGCTGAGCACATCATATTAAAAATGAACAAGACTTTTGAAAAGACTTAAAGATCAAGTCAAGACTCCTGTTTCCTTGGAATCCATATTAACAAACTCTCAAGGTGCTTCAGGAAACGAGATCACTTACCATGCGGGGGATCCTTAGTTAATCTTTGTTTTTCTTTTGTGTTGGGGAGGAATTGATTGTTATATGCTTGCTTCATTTTATCTATTCTTTGATCCCATGTTTTTGCCAAGTTATATCTATAATTAACCTGGTGGAGTCCATCTTCCTTTGTGTTTCTTTTTGACCCCTGGGTATGTGTTCTTTTGGGCACAAGAATGTTTCTGACAATTTCTAAAGAATTAGTGGTTGTAGTAGTAAGATAAAAGGGCCTCTTATTTCAGGGACCTGACTTGGAAAGTCAGGGTCCAGCACCATTTTCTTCTTTTCTGTGTTAATTCAGAGAGTGACTGCACAGATGGTCTGTGGATTGCCTTGGACTTAGGCAGGCAGACCTGGGTTTGATTCCACGTTCCACCTTTGGAACTAGTGCTCAGAACAGCTATTTAACTTCTCCAAGTCTTGTTTTCCTTAGTTATAAAAAGGGGAAAATAATACCTTCCAGGACTATTACACAAATTAGATGAAGTAATGTGTGCTGAAAGATCATGTTAAAGTTGTTGTGCATGACTGCTAAGGTTGTGCACTGCACAGTTTCCAGGGACACAATTCCTGTTGACTGTGTGCATGGTACTCCTCAAAGTTGTGTAGTACGTAGCTGTATATGACCCTGGCCCACACCCCTCTGGCTTTCTGCAGAATGTCATGGAAACAATGACATTTTGTTTGCTTTTTGTAGTTCTTTGTTTCTTGGTATCATCTCTGTGCATATAAATTGCTAAAGGACAGAAACCATGTCTGATTCTGTGTTTGCAAAGGGCTGCACATGGTGCTTGCTGCTACAGAGCACGGGAACTCATCAGAATTACTTGTTTCTGAGTCTGAACAGTGTGTGACAGGTTTGGATAATGACCCCATGTCATTTAGTTCAGTGATTCAGTTTTTAATTGAAGAATTTTAGAATTCTTTTTGCCACCTAAAAGTAGAGGTATGTTTTTCTCTGCAATGGGAGGCACTGCAGGGGGCGGGGTGGAGTGGAGAGGGAGAATTGGAGTTATGGTCAAGGCCAGCATTGGTCGGTTGCTTACTGTGTGCCAGAAGTAGGGTACACTATGGTGAATAAGGTAGGCAGGGCCCCTGAAGTTGAGGATTTGAGAAGATTGAGAAGGAGAGGATTTCTAGGGTCAATGGTGGGGGAGTTAGCATGCTACTGCTAGTCTGGGGCAGGGAGCTTGGGACCGTCCGTGGCCAGGTAAAAGCCATGTAGCTGGTGAGAACTGTGGACACCCGTCAAAAAACCTCTGAAGAGGCAGCTGGCAATCAGGTGTGGGAACTGTGCCCCTAAGTGGTCACTGCCACTGATGACTTGAAGTTGCTGAAGGAGGTGGTGTAGAGCTGCCCCATCCCCTAGAAATACAAATTTTTCTAGGAGCCATATCAGAAAAGGAACAACTGAAATGAATATTAATGACATTTATTTAGCTTAGTTTATTAAAATATTATCATTTCAATATATAATCTGTGTAAAGTATTAATGAGATATTTTACCTTCTTTTTTTGTACTAGGTCTTTGACATACAGTTATATTTTATGCTTACAGTACATCTGAATCAGGACTAGTCACCTTTCAAGTGCTCAACAGCTGCCTGATTGGGCAGTGCAAGTTTAGAGAACTGCATTATGGATTCTTTTGGAGTTCAATTTTCCCAGTCTCCCTGAATGTTATATATAACAATGAGAATAGCATAAACCGTATGTGGGAGACAAATCTAGGTAGAGTATATTTGAAGAGGGATAATCTTTAATTCAACATTGTTTTCTTCTCTGTGTTAATTCAGAGGGTGACTCTGCAAGCCTGACTTGGAAAGGGAAGGTGTGTAATCATGAAGGTCACCCAGAGATGGTTTGGTGTGGGTTTTTCTAGCTTCTGGGACAAGGGTCAGCTAAGTTTCTTTAGGTGGCGTTTTAGACTAACTACAGCAAAAATGGGGACAACAGTGTGAAGGATGTGTAGTGGAGTGTGGCCAGGTCTCAGGAGAAAGCGTGTCATGTTTTGTTTTATTTTGTTTTGTTTCAGATCCTCCTCCTCCAGATGGATCCCCTAATATTACATCTGTCAGTCATAATTCAGCAAAGGTCAAGTTCAGTGGGTTTGAAGCCAGCCACGGACCCATCAAAGCCTATGCTGTTATTCTCACCACTGGAGGAGGTAAGGAGGGGCCACCATGGGTTAAGCAATGGGTGATGCCATTAGGTATATCAGTGACATAAATAGATGCTACCCTTTGTACTGCAGCCCTTAATTTGGCACTCTGAGAGGGAGGGCCAGCTATTTGCCTGATGATCTACGTTAGGGTTTGAAAAACTTTGTCTCAAAGGGCCAGATAGCAAATGTCTTAAGCTTTGCAAACCCTATATAGTCTGTGTCACAACTACTCAACTCTGCCATTGTGGTATGAAAAGAGTTCTAGAACATACCCAAAGAATGAGTAAGTCTGTTACCATTAATTGTTAGCTACCAAAATAGATGGTAGCTGGTTTGACCCTAGACCATGATTTGCTATCCTCTGATCTAGGTTTTTTTTTCTCTTTAACAGTGCAGGATCTTTTAATGGCAAAATGTTAGTCTTTCTCAAATTTGTCCCCCACTTTGCCCCAAATCATCCTTAGAGGATGACTTTCTCTTGAAAGAAAACAGAGAAAGATTTTTATTTACTAGTGAGACCTTGCTGAGAGCATCCTGTAGCTCAGAGAGGAGGTGGACTAAAGACTCCTTTTCCCTAAAAGGCTCTGTTACATTCCTTGGTAGTAAGAAGGAAATGATTTAAGGGTGTCTTTGATGCTTGCATGTGAATGCTTTGCACAGACCTGTGCTTAAAATGCCAAACAAGGTTTGTTATTTTCTGTGATTCTTAAACTAAATCCTCCTTGAGGAAGGTAGAGGCCAAACACTCAGGGATGCTGGGTTTCTAGAGGACAGAAATATGCTGGTATCATAAACCTGTTAAATTTCAAAAACAATGTGGAGATCTCAGTCTCTCTTCTCTCTCTTTTTGTTTTGGGTCTGCTGCAAGCTCTTTGTTATTTTTCTTTGTTTTTGTTTAAATTTGAACCTGTTACAGGTTTTGATTCTAACATTTTGTCATCTTCAAACCGTATCAGTGATGAAACAAGGATGCTAATCATAACATTAAAACTCTTTGTTATTTTTCTGTGATGATTTCCAACTAATTCCAAACTTAGTCCTTTGCTGAATGAAAGGGGCAATGTTACATGGTGACAGGGCTGACCAGTACTGGCCTATGATGAACAAGACCACAGGCCCTGGGCCAGATGGTGTGTGTTAGGAATCCACCTTTATCTTGAGGGCAGTGTGACTAATAGGCCAGGTCCTATTACTTTTCTGTGCATTCATTTTCTTGTCTGTAGAATGGGGTAACAAACTTTTGTGAGGAGATTTGTAGTGATGGATTGAGTTAATGTAAGTGAGATACTAAGAGTTTAATGTAAGCAAAGAGAGATGGTAGCTAGTGTCATCATCCAGCAATGGTGTCATTATTTAGATTTATTTAGATATATGTCTTTCTTTTCCATCACTTATGATCTACCTTCTGTGTGCCTTTCTTAGCTGATCACCCTTCTGCAGATGTTTTGAAATACACGTATGACGATTTCAAACAGGGGACCTCAGATACTTATGTGACATACCTCATAAGAACAGAAGAAAAGGGACGATCTCGGGGCTTATCTGAAGTCTTGAAATATGAAATTGATGTTGGGAATGAGTCAACCACCCTTGGCTATTACAACGGGAAGCTGGAACCTCGGGGCTCCTACCGGTAACATCTTTTGTTCTTGCTGTTTGGGGCTGAGCCTCATCATTGTAAAACTCTACGTGCTTATGGTAGTAGACACATCTCGTGACTCTGATTTTTCTTTTTGTCACCTCAGGGCTTGCGTGGCTGGCTTTACCAATATTACTTTTATCTCTCAAAATGGTGGACTCATCAATGGGGCTGAGAGCTATGTGTCCTTCAGTCGCTATTCAAATGCCGTTTTCTTGCCTCAGGATCCAGGTAGAGGGAAAACAACAGCCCTATTATGATTCAGTGGGTTTTGCTTCAAGTGTCCACAGAAGGCTGCTGTCTGTACACCCCCCTGAGCCCCGAGAAGGGATGGAGTGCTGGATTCTCCCTTCTCACAAGTAGAGATATCTTTTGGCCATTGGGCTCAGCTGAGCTTTCTCCTTTGAGGTCCCTGACAGCTCTGGTCCCCACACTCTCCCTTCTCTAACAGCAAGTTACAGTGCTGGTAGAGTAGCTCAAGTGGTAACAATGCCTGCCTAGCAAGTGTGAGGCCCTGAATTCAAACCCCAGTGCCGCAGGGAAAGAAAAAAAAAACACCAGTTACACTTCTAATCTGCAAAAATTGTACTGTCCTTTGTGTTCTCACTATAGTCATTGGTGGACCCCCATGCCAGGTACATGGTATAACTGTATTTATGGAATCCTTAAGTATCCACATCAGAAGATGCCACAGAAATAGCCTTGTCTGACCTCCCTTTTAGAAATAAGTACCCTAAGGCCTAGAGCTGGGAAGTTGCTTGCTTAGGGTTACACAGTGGCTTAGAGGCAGGCCTGAAATTCTGACTTTGGCCTCCTCGTCAAGTGCTCCTGTCTAGTATCACACAGTTAAATGATACAGGGATTTCCAGGACCCAAGGAGGATATACCACCTATCTACAGGCCAGATGCAATTATTATTTTTTTTTGAGTAGACAAAGGTTTATTAAATAATAAAAAGCACTAACATTAAGAAAGGAATATTGTTAACAAAATTTGATTGATATGAATTTTTAAGAGCCATTAAAAAATGGAAGGCAAGTCACAGAGTGAAAGATATAATAAGCAAAAGGCAAACAGTCCAATGAAAAACACACACAAAAATCTTAGGCAGGCCCTTGACAGAAGAGGACACCCAAATTGACTGATTGGTTCTTAGTTTGTCTCATTTTTCTTACTTGATAGTTGTCAGCATAAGAATTTCCTAGAAGCAAAGTTCAGGGAATCCCTACCCTGCCCTGTCAATGAAGGTGTTTCACGCTCCCAAACATGGTGCTGTGGGTGCTTCTGCTCCTAAGTGGTGTTTTGTTTTTTTCTGTGGCTCTAAAAGTGAGAGGTGGCAGGAAACTACTGATCTTGTCCAGATTTGCAGTAGAGGAACTGAGGCCTGGAGAGGAATTAATGACTTTTGTTTTTGGTGGGACTGGGATGGAATTCAGGGCCTCATGCTTGCTAGGTAGTCGCTTTTCTGCATGAGCCACACCCTCAGTCCTTTTGCTTTTAGTTTGTTTTCAGATAGAGTCTCATGCTTTTTCCTAGGCTGGCCTCAACTGGAATCCTCTTATCTTTGCTTTCTGAGTAGCTGGGATTATGGGCATGCATCATCATGCCTGGCAGTAGTGCTTTTCTTAAGACTATCCAGCTAGTGGTGAACTGTGGACAAAGAATATCAGGAAAACATTTAGGTCTATGTGTCTTTGGATAGATAGTCAACTGTGTGTGTGCTGCACATGCACAGGGGTGTGTGTCTGGGGGCTTTGTGGTCTGAGGGCCCCTGGTTGGTTGTCGGTACAGCATGTGGTCTTGCACAAACACTTACAGCTGTTCCCTTTTGGACTTTTCCTCAGGTGTCATCTGTGGAGCCGTGTTTGGATGCATCTTTGGTGCCCTGGTTATTGTAGCTGTGGGAGGCTTCATCTTTTGGAGAAAGAAAAGGTGATGTTGTTTGTGTCATTTATAATACTCTGCTCTTAGGAAAGCTTTCTATTGTGGGAAATTTGACCCTTACAGAACTGGAGATAATGTTTGCATTATCCCGTGTTCATCATCTGATCAGTCTTACTTCCTCTCTGCAGGGTGAGTCTAAAGCCAGTTCCAGCCACCATGTAAAGTCACTGGTTTACACACTGCCATTGGATGCTACTTCCAAATGCAATTTTAGTTCACAAGTCAGTTTTGTTTGACAGTGTTAAGAGTGTTTATTTTAGAGTTGGCCAAGTCTGAATGCCTGTTCCATTTCCCGATAGCTATTGGGAAGCTAAGTGTCAATGTCCTTATCTAAGTATGGGAGTGATAGCATTGCCCAACTGGTGAGGCAGAGGAGTGCTTTGCACACTGTCTTGTTTACTATTGTTATTGTCTCTGTACACCATCCTGTAAAGTAGTTAAATAGTGAAAATGGCAGCCTCATTTTGGGTGCTACCTGTGTGCCTTGATTTATGTGTTTTGTGAATCATCTCATTCCCAAGTCTCTGAGAGGGAGGTCTTGAAGCCCCTTCCTGGGGTGCAGAGGCTGAGTTTAGGAAGTGTGAGAACAGAACTTCATCCTGGTCTTTGCACTTCATTGCACACCCTCTTGCCTCACCATGTGAAGCCTGTGCATTATTTGGGATTCATTTACTGTCAGGTGCTGCCCCCAGGGAATTTCTATCTGAGCCTAAGGGTTTTAATATGTCCTGCCTGGTCCCTTGTGCTGCTAGCTTGTTCTGCTGAGTTGATGAGCAGTGTTCATGTTCAGCTTGTTGCATTAGGTTCTCACTTTTTGGAGGTGAGGGGAGGAGAGGTCAGTGGCTTGGTAAAACAGCTTATTGTTTCTTATTAAAAATAAAGTAATATATCAAAAAATACAGAAAGGGGAAAAAAAAGTTAATCCATAATTCTATCACCCACCCAAAACTTTTTATATTAACATTTTATATTAATATTTTTATATTTTTATATTAACATTTCATATTAATATTTTGGTATGATTGCAAAATTCACCCACAAAAGGAATCATATTGTACATAGTAGTGAATAAAGTAGCTTGCTTTATTTGCTTAAGAGATTGTAGACTGCTTCATTTCATCATTTTGAGTGGCTGCAAAGTATTAACCTCTATGGAAATACCATCATTTAACCAGTTTCCTGGATAGTTTCTTTTTGGCCACAGTTACATATCTTTGCAGCTAAATCTCTGAGCACATTGATGATTATTTCCTTAGATTAAATTCTAAGCTGATAGTTCCTGGGTCGGTGGATAAGGATTTTTCAGTTTGGATAAGTGCTGTTAAATTGCCTTCCAGGCAGTGTTTTTTAAAGAACAAGGGGGCGCTAAGGCAGCAATACAGACGGATGTAAGTTCCCCACTGCTGTGGCAGCATTGGGCCTGATAGGGTTTCAGGTTAACACATCAGATAGGCTTTTTCAAAGCTTTTTCATCAGCAGCAGGTAATGCTGCTGATAGGTATTTGCAAGGAAGTTCCTAAAAGTTGCTTTAGTAAGATTTCCCATATTTTTCGATAGACTGAAAGAGAGTAGCTTTACAGATTTGTGATTGGTGTTTTCTGCTTGGACCCTTAAGCTTAGTGTTAGTGAGCAGGATTTACTGTCAGATATGAACCACTGCCCAGGGAAGGGACATTTGGTAGATTTGAGAAAGGGGGAAGTGCAGGATGAATGATCCCCCCGCCCTCCTTTTTTTTAATCTAATGGGTCTTTTTTTCTTTCAAAACAGGAAAGATGCAAAGAACAATGAAGTGTCCTTTTCTCAAATTAAGTAAGTCTCTAGAACATGAACCTGAAGATCCAGTCCCTCAATCTGTTCCATGACTGCCTGTAGAATTTCTGATGGAAGGTGCTGTCATTTTTCCTGATTGACACCTTTGGCCATGATCTTGCAGAAGTTCTTGCTAGCTGTTCTCTGCAAGGAATCCATGTTTTATTGGTCTCCCAAAGTTAGCTTCTTTGCCATGTTCCATAATTGTACCAATAAATATATATTTTGTTATTTTTTTTTAAAGTGAGTTGTCAAAATGTAGGAGGAGAGAATAACTTGTTTAAACTCACAAATGTGGTTAGTTATATGACCTACTTGGTTTCCTGATTCACATTTTAATGTTTTGTAAATGATATGACTCTGATCTCTACCTGCCCTCTCACCCCCCAAATTGTATTTTACTTTTTACTATTTCGGGAAAATTTCCCAAATGAACATGTTGTTCTAATTGCTTATTTTTTTTCTTTCCCTTTCTATGATGAAGACCTAAAAAGTGAGTAACTTCTTTTTTAAAATAACTTATATTTTTCTGCTTTGAATATGAGCCTCATTGAACATTAAAAAAATATTCCAGTAAGTTATTTTGTTTTCATAGATCCAAGTTAATCAGAGTGGAGAATTTTGAGGCCTACTTTAAAAAACAGCAAGCTGACTCCAATTGTGGGTTTGCAGAGGAATATGAAGTAGGTGGCTTTAGATATTGTGTTTTTCATTGTTTTATGGGGAACCTTTGGGGGAAGAGGTGGCCATTCTGGAGAGGACAGAGGAGCTTGGGCCAGTGCCCTCAGATGAAGCTCAGAGGAAACCTCCCTTCTAGTGGATTAGATATTTAATCTTGTTGATGCCCAAAGATTATCCAGAGAGATACAGAAACTGGGAATTTGAGTTCTGGTACTACAAGAATAATTAGGAAACTATATGAACTAGAAGGAAACCAGATGGGACATTCAGAGGTCAAGGGCTTGACAACTGTGGGACAAGGTTGACTTGGGGAAGAGTATGTGAAGCCTTAGAGGAGTTTCTTGTTCAGTGTTTGCCTTTTAGTCACTGCTGTCCTCTGTCCCCCAAACCAGTCCAGGACAGTACTGCCCCATTCAGAATGTTCACGCATGGTGCTTCCATGCTGCCCCATCCATCACAGGGCCTCAGCCTTTTCTCCCATAAAATCCTACTTGCCATTCCAAGCTCAGCTCAGATACTACTTCTTCCCTGTTGTTTTTTTCAAATTCTGTGAGGGAACTCATAAAGTCTCTGTTTTGTGACTCTTTGAAGTGTCTGTGCTCAGATTGCCTTGTTTTACCTCTGACATGTTGCTTGTCACCAGTATTCAGCATTTGTCTAATTCTGCCTTGTCATGTTAATGATTTCTGTCTCTACCTCTTCTGTAGGTTGTAAGCCTGTGGAAGGCAAGAATTGTCCCTTTTCTTTTAACCTCTGTATTAGTTCCCTAGGGCTACCTAACAAAGCACCATAAGTTCCATGGCTTTATAACAGCAGAAATTTATTGTTTCACAGTTTTATAAGCCAGAAGTCCAAAATCAAGGGGCTGGCAGGACCCTGCTGCCTCCTAAGCTTTAGGAGAGGACCCTTTCATGCCTCTTCAAGCTTTTGGAAGCCCATGTCATTCCTTGGTTTTGTGCCAGCATCTTTTCTGTGTCTGCCTCTGTTTTCACATGGCGTCTCCTCTCGTAATTGTTCTTTGTCTCTTTTCCTCTTATGTGAATGACACACATATTAGGTTAAGGGTTTACTCTAGTCCAGTGACCTCATTTTAACTTGATGGCATCTGAAAAGACTGATGCCATGTCATCTCTCTTGATGAGACCCTCCCCCCCCCAGTATAATAACGAAAGACAGGACTATAAAATAGGTACAGTGTGTCTGTGGGAGGGGAAAGGGTGGATGAAGGAGATGAAGGTGAGGAAATACAGTTGATGGACTTTATATACATACACAAAATTGAACAGTAAAACCTCTTGCAATTGCTTTAAGTGGGGCAGGGAATGGGGAGATGGTGGGAGTGATCTAACCAATGTAAAATGTGAGTCCATTCGGAATTGTCACAATGAATCCCCCATGTACAACGAATATGTACTAATAAAAATGAAGGAAAAAAAAAAGATGTCCCTCCTAAACCCTGGACCTTTGAGATCCAGCATATCTTTCAGGGGACAGAAGTTAACCTGCTTCACTACTGCATTCTCCACTTTGTTTCCTCATGTGTGATCAGTATAAATCATATTTGAAGACTAAAGAAACAACTTGATTGTTTTATTTCAGGATCTGAAACTGGTTGGAATTAGTCTACCTAAATATGCAGCTGAACTGGCTGAGAATAGAGGAAAGAATCGCTATAATAATGTTCTGCCTTGTGAGTGATTTTATCCATGTCATCTGCCCTGTGCTCTGTCATTGGCTGTCATATCACATCTCTAAAGTAGAGGGGAGGGGAACCAGTGGTACCAACTGGCTACTTGCACAACCATTCAGTAGTCACCTACTGTATGCTAAGTGCTGTATTTAGGGACAGTACATTTAATTTAATCCTCATAACAGCTTTATGAAGTAGGTTGCAGAATATTCATTTTGCACATGAGGAAAATGGGGTACAAAGTGTTGTCCAGGGCCTCACAGATAGCAGTGGTGACACCAGGCATTGGACCAGGTGCATGTCAGGGAAAAGGCCAGAGTTTGAGTGTTTAACCTCTCTGTATCTTACCCTTCTCCCCTTTTAAAATTTCTACAATTCTGATATAAGGGGCAGAAGGAGAACAAGCCATGAGACATGCTTTCTGCTTGTTCAGACCCATCTCTGATTGTCTGGGTGCACTGCAGTTAAATGTGAGCTATATTTGGATTCTTTTCTGTTTTGAAAATTACCAGTGTCTGCCACCCAACCCGCAGGGATAACAGCAAACTGAGTTTACAAAGGAGAGTCATTTATCACATCAAGCACTAGATAGAAATGTAAATACTTCTCCATGAAAAGTTCATTATGATCTCTCTTTGGGGTGGGAATTAGGGCACAGAAAGGAGTGTAAGTGGATTGTAGCTGTGGTCTAATTTAGCTGAAATGGATAGGCTTTGTGGAAAACTTGACACCAGGGACATTGTCTTTTTTATCTGAAGCCATGTTTTCTTGCCTGGAGTATAGTTTCTGTTCAGACTTAGTGTTTTGTAGCTCCCACGTTCTTTTTCTGTTTCCTCCCCTATTCTTAACAAAGGGATGTTGGCCCTCACTGAGAGAAATGCTTTTAAAACCAGGCTGGGGGTGCTGCTTCAGCCCTGCCCTTTGGAGGATAGTTTAGATAATTTGGCCAGTTCTTGTGAATGTCTGTGGAGACTTTCAAATCCAGAAAGAGGGTTGGGAATTTGGTGTCTGGGTATAGGTATTTTTTTGGGGGGAAGGGGTGGTGTTTAGTGGAGCTTGAACTCAGGGCCTTTACCTTGAGTCACTCCACCAGCCCTATTTTTGTGAAGGGTTTTTTGAGATAGGTCTCGTGGAACTATTTGCCCAGGCTGACTTCAGACAGCGATCCTCCTGATCTCTGCCTCGTGAGTAACTAGGATTATAGGTGTGAGCCACTGGTGCCTGGTGGGTATAGTTTTTATTGGGAAGACTTTCAGCTGAGAATCACTTTGGTAATTGGGTTTAGCATTCCATGCCATTTTGTCCAGGGGATGGAGAGGTGATATGGGCAGAGATAGGGAACCTCTCATGGCTTACCCTGAGACGTGGGATTCCTAGGTTACTTCATTTCTGGAGTTGGTCAAGTTTGTGGGTGTTTTTTTTAAACAGTACTGGGGTTTGAACTTGGGGCCTTGGGCTTGGTAGGCAGATGTTTTACCACGTGAGCCACCCCTACCTCCAAGTCCTTTTTTACTTTAGTTATTTTTCAGGTAGAGTCTTACATTATTGCCTGGGGTCAGTCTTATATGGCTTCCCATGTAACTGGGATCAGAAGTGCATGCCACTAAACCCGGCTTTTTGATTGAGATAGGGTCCCACTAACTTTTTGCCTCAGCTGGCCTTGTACCTTGGTTCTCCTGATCTCCTCCTGAGTAGAGATTATAAATATGTACCACTGCACTGGGCCGTATGTGCTTTTGAAATGACAATAATATTTAGAAAACAAGAATTTTGTATTTTAGACCCTTATACTCATAGTAGGCTTATATGTTCAGTTTACTGTTAAGTTTAGTACTTTTTTGTTGCTTGCTGGGTTTTTTTGTTATACCTCATTTAAACAGTTCGACATCACACATATTCAAGTGTGTTACACCATATTCATTCCTCAGTGACATTTTAAAGTGTTAAGCATTTTTAAATATCAAAAAGTACAACTCTGTTTTATAATATAGTACTGGCATAATTCAAAGTACTATGCCAATTATAAATAATCAAGTTTCAAACATCCTTTCAAACATATTTAAAGGACAGCATATAGACATATTTATATGTACACTATTATATTCATATAATCAGAGTGTTTTTTCTTTCTTTTTTTTTTTTTTCCTGTTTTTGAGAAAGGATCTTGCTGTGTAGCCCAGGCTGGCCTTCAAATCACCATCCTTCTGCTTCATCCTCCCTCGTACTGGGATTACGGGTATGTATCACCATGCCTGACTCAAATTTAGTACTTTGTATAACGAGTTTTTTACATAAGAATAGAGGCAGCCTCCTAGGGATATACCCAAAGGAGTACGACTCAGGTTACTACAGAGGCATTTGCACACCCACGTTTATTGGCTAGTTATGGAAATAGCCAAGATGCCCCAGTACTAATGAATGGATTAAGAAAATGTGGTATTTATATACAATGGAATTTTACTCAGCCACGAAGAAGAATGAAATCTTATCATTCATAAGTAAATGGATGGAACTGGAGAACACCATCTTAAGCAAAGTTAGTCAGGCTCAGAAGGCCAAAAATCATATGTTCTCCCCCATATGTGGACTTCAGACCTAAAACAAATGCAGTAATATTATTGGACATGGGTCACACACTAAGGGGAGAACACATACAGGAGGAATAGGGAAAGGTAGGAAACCCAAAACTTGAAAATGTTTGATGTGCCCACTGTAGAGGAGCAAATATAGTAACCTTAAACTGACAGAGGTCACTATGGGAAGGTGACTGGGAAGTAGTGAAGAGGTCTGGTAGAGATGAACCAATTTGGGTTATAATACACAAGTGCATGGAAGCAATGCTAGGAATCTCTCTGTATAGCTGTTCTTAACTCAAAGTAGTAAAAACGCTGTGTCTTACTGCTTATGTCTCTTCAACAAAATTGGAGAAGAGGGCAGAACAGGTTCTGCCTGGAAGCATGGGGGGCAGCGGGGAGAAATGGCCCAAACAATGTATGCACATATGAGTAAATGAATAAATAAACACACAAAAAAGAATAGAGGCAGGGTGGAAAGGCTAACCTGGGCCACTGGCCTGCCAAGGTAGAATGGACACTGGGTTTGAATTCTATCTGCCATTGACCAAATGGAAGGACTTAGAGACATAATTTCATCTCTGTAGCCCTCAGTTTCCTCATCTGTAAAATAACATAAAAGCTGTTGGGTGGTTTTAAGGAATACATAAAATTGCTTAGCACATGGCAGACACCCAAGGCTGCTGACAGTAACAGGCTTGTTTTTTCTGAGAAGGTGAATCAGTTTGGTTGGGAGCATAGGCCTTGGTGTAAGGCTTCCTGGAGTCAAATCCTATCTTTGCCATTAGTGAGCTCTACTCAGGTAATCATAACTTCACAGAGAGTGCCTGTGGGGGTTAAATGAGGTCACACATATAAAACTCCAAGCTGTGCATCTGCACTAGACTCGTCCCACGGTTGCCATTTTGTATTGCTTTTTTCTTTTGCATGTGCAACTTTCCTAAATCTTTGCTTTTAGTGAGGACCTTTTTTCTTTTACTATCGCAGATGATATTTCGAGAGTCAAACTTTCAATCCAGATCCACTCAACTGACGACTATGTTAATGCCAACTACATGCCTGTGAGTGTGCGCACAGCCTTACAGCGCCTGCTTGTTCTGATGAGACCTTCAGAGTCGCTTCTTTCTGTGTCTTTGACATTGACTTACGTGTTTTCTGTTTTTAGGGCTACCATTCCAAGAAAGATTTTATTGCCACCCAAGGACCTTTGCCCAATACTTTGAAAGATTTTTGGCGGATGGTTTGGGAGAAAAATGTATATGCCATTGTTATGTTGACCAAATGTGTTGAACAGGGAAGGGTAAGTATCATTTAAAAATTGATTTTTATTGTGGTAGAAGAGTAAAGCTTTAAAATCCATTTGTCTTTTCTTCTGTTTATTTACTTGTTTATTTTCGGTGTATTGGGACAGGGTCTCACTCCTTGAACTTGTGATTCTTCTGCCTCAGCCTCCTGAGTGCTGAGATTTCAGGCATGTGTCACCACACCCAGCTCTCTATTTGCCTTTTTAAAAAACATTCCTCCCAACATTAGTAGTATCTTCTTTCTTAGAAATTTGTTGTCTTTTTCTCCCTTAAAAGTTTTTTTTTTTTTTTTAATCTTGAAAACATTCTGTTTTGTCATTGTTTCTCTTTGTGGACAAATACCAATGTCCTCTCTTCATCAAGTGTCTGCTGCTGGAATAGTTAAAGCAGAAGCTGGGTAGTGCGTGGGAGATCTCCAGCCTGGAGCAAGTGGCTGCTGACCATGCAGTTCTGTTCATCATCAGCTCTGCATGCAGGCTCTAAGCAACCAGCTCCTCAACCTCTGAGCTGACAGATTCTACCAGCTTGATGGTTTTCAAAGTTAGTTTTTAGCACCAAACCTCTTTCTGTAAACAAAATCCAGACTTAACCTAGTCTCAGCAGCCCGTTCTCCCCTGTGTGGCCTGAAATCCCCCTGCCTTTTCTATCAAAGACCGGATTTCTTCTAGTAACAAAATCTCATATTTCCATGAATTGATGTGAAGAGAATAAGAAAGCACATACTAAACTGAAACATTCTGAGCTTAAGGACTGGGACTTGATTTTACTCCAGGCATAGTAATAATAACAGTGAAATGATAATAATAATAATAATAGTAATTTGGTGCTGAGGATTGAACCCAGGGCTTCGCACATGCTGAGCACGTGCTCTACCACTGAGCTCCATCTCATTTACGAATATTTATTTTTAATGTAGGTTCATGTCTTGAGAAATAGGAGTGGATTCCTTAAGCCAGTGGTTCTCTCACTTTCTTGTCCATCAGAATCACCTGGAGGATGGTTCTGCTGCCAGAGTAGCTCACTGAGAACTGCATTTCTGAGAACTGAGTTTCTGACAGTTCGCAGATGATATGGTTGCTATATTCAGGATGTACGTTTTGAGTGGTGTTGTCCTGAGTGACAGCAGAAACCCATCAGACATCACTTCTTTTTTTCAAATGTTCATTATTTCACTTCAAGTCAGTAGATGTTTATCCAGCCCCTAATATCTGTAAGGTCCTGTGTTAGGGACTGGGATAAAGGAGGGAAAATAACAAAGAGCAGTGAGCAGTGGAGCCCTTCTCTGTGTTGCTTGTGACATGGAGGATAGGGTCTTGCACCACTCTTGCATCAGGAGAACAAACATGCAGAGAAATGAAAGAACTCTGTTTTATAAATGCAAATAAACTGTATAGTGCCTCTGAGTCCAGGGCCTATACATGGAACATTCTCACAACTATGTTAGGCAAGCAGCAACATTCAACACTGTGGTTGAATGTAGGAAGACCACAAAGATGGGCCCTTGCTCATCTTAGGTCAACATGGAAGATGATGATACTGACTCAGGGTGAAAGGGGAGGGAGCCAGTGTAGGTTCTGCATTAAACACCCCATATTTGTTACCCATTTCCTATACCAACCCTGGGCACTATTAGCAGTGCTTTATAAAGAAGAGAAACGAGGCTCAGAGAGCTGAAGAACTTCCTCAAAGGTAGCAAGAAAAACCCAGCTGAAAAGAGGTTGATTTGGGAATCAAATCCGTGTCACAGTGTGTGCACCATCATGATGGCTTGTTGTTTGAGACAGAGTCTCACTAACTTTTTGCCCAGGCTGGCCTCAAACCAAGATGCTTTCCATCCCCACCTCCCAAGTATCTGAGATTATAGGCATGAGCCACAATGCCCAAAAGATCTTTTGACTTTTAAAGAGAATCTGAATTTTCATGAGAAGGATCCCAATTTTAAAAGAGTTGTAAATTATAAGACAGGCAGACAATTCTAAGGGTCAAACAGCCCAACTAAGGGACTGATCTATCCCGTTGTCACTTTTCATTGCCTGTTCTTCCTCACGAGGCTTTAGTGGTGGTAGGTGTGTGATTTGAGTGTTTCATAAAAATGAAATTGTATTCTAGACCAAATGTGAGGAGTACTGGCCTTCCAAGCAGGCTCAGGATTATGGGGACATAACTGTGGCAATGACATCAGAAGTTGTTCTTCCAGAATGGACCATCAGAGATTTCACTGTGAAAAATGTAAGTAAGAGGTCAACATAGATAGATTTCAGAAAATTACTGGATGTTAATTTGGGGGGGTGACACTTTTAGGTTGATATTGACTATTTTATGTATCAAAAATATTTTTGCTTTCTTTTTTGCAGAGTAAAAAAATCCATACCTAAACATACTTCAAGGCAACCCCCTAGCTTTACTTTCTTGAGGGAAGTTTCTTAAGTTATTCCTGAATGAAATGAATCTTAAGAGTGTGGCTTAGCAGCAATGACTCTTTCCTTTCCTTTCACTTCTAGGTGACTTGCTTGTAGAGTTTTGTCACAAACTGAGGCCTTGGATAATTTGGTTGGGAATATGGCATTTGCTGTGAGGAACATTTTACAATAGTTACGTAATAGGAATCCGGGGAAAGTGTACATGCCCTCCTTTCCCACCAAAAGTTGCAAAAACATGAACAATTAGATCTTGCAGGCATTCTAGGAAGTTGGGTTTATGGGTTCTTATTCTTTTTTTTAAGGGTGTTTGAAAATAGAGGTGAGTGTCACAAAGCAACTTTGAGATCTACTTACTGTTGGATGTGTTAATGGGTTTTTACCCTTTGCATTTTATATCAATGACCTAAAAATGTCCATTCCTTTTGATCTGGTGGACCTAAAGAAATAATCTGAAATACAGGAATGGGCTTATTAGTCATAGAGGTGAATCTCAGTCTTATTTTTAATGGAGGAAAAATTGGAAACCATGCACATACCTAGGTTTTAGAGAATGGATAGCTGAACTGTGACTTGTCTGCTCACTGTATCATTGTCCAAATACTAGAAATGATGTGTATCTAGACTAAATATAATCAGCCCTCTTTATCCCTGGGTTTTACATTCATGGGTGCAACCAACCTGAGTTTGCAAAATGGAGAGTGAAATTTGTGTCTGTACTGAACACGTACAGGCTTCCTTTTCTGGTCATTACTCACTAAATGATATAGTATAGCTACTATGTATACAGCATTTGCAGTATGTTAGGTATTGTAAGTAATTTTGAAATGATTTGAAGTATAATGCAGGGTACACATTCTGAGAATTGTGTCATTGTGTGAACTTTATGGTGTGTACATACACAAACCTGGGTGGTGTAGCCTACAGCACACCTAGCTAAATAGTATGTGCATCATATATGTGTTCTGTCATTGACCGAACGTCATGCATGGCTCTATGGAGGAGGATGTATGTAGGTTGTATAGAAATATGACATCGTTGGGCATCCTCAGATTTTCTTGTCACTGGGGGTCCTAGAATAATTTTCTCCCGATGCTGAGGGATGATGTAATAACCACCAGATATTAGAATGCAATATAAGTGAAACATACAAGAAGGCAGTATTTCATAAATATCATTAATAGTGCACAAAAGAAAAGCCTGGAAGTCGACTTAGGGGGTTAGTGGGTTAGGTTCTAGTTTATAAGAGTTATCTCCGAAGATCTCACAAGTCATGGGTAAAGTGTAGTGAATTAAACGCTAACTTTTTACTAATTAACATGTCTCAAAGGCTCTGCCTTCAGTGAATATTTCAGTTCCTCCTGTGGAGATGCTGCCAAAGCTGCGGCCATGGACTGATTTGACTACCTAAATAGTTAAGTTCGCAGTAGCTGAAAAGCCTCTGAAATGTGTCATGCTTATTTCTACAGTCTTTTGCCCCCCATTTAAGCTGATGAGCTTGTTCATGGTTGCTTCCACTGTTGGTGTTCACCCTTGTGGAGGGGAACTGTGTGGGATTTTCCACAGCATTTAAAAAAATTGCTATTGCTTTTATTAGTGTGTTTTTAATTAACTAAACTCCAGATTATTCTGAATTCATGCTTTACCACTTAAGCCTTCTCTCAATTTGGGATACCACGTGGAATTCAGTCAAATAGTATTTTCTAATTACACAAGATGCACAAATACATTTTCCTTTTATAAAATGAGAATTATAGATACAGCTAATGGTTTCCTCTCACTACTGCCAACCACAGCCCCTTTGCCCTTCTGCAGAGGCAATACCGAGAAGTGTTACTTCCATGAGTTCTCTTTCTTTCCTGCTTCTCAAAGCTGGTTTCTTTTCTGAAAAGCACTTTTTTTTTCTTTTATTATTCATATGTGCATACAAGGCTTGGTTCATTTCTCCCCCCTGCCCCCACCCCCTCCCTTACCACCCACTCCGCCCCCCCCGCCCCCCCCTGCTCAATACCCAGCAGAAACTATTTTGCCTTTATTTCTAATTTTGTTGTAGAGAGAGTATAAGCTATAATAGGAAGGAACAAGGGTTTTTGCTGTTGAGATAAGGATAGCTATACAGGGCATTGACTCACATTGATTTCCTGTGCGTGGGTGTTACCTTCTAGGTTAATTCTTCTTGAACTAACCTCTGAAAAGCACTTTTGATGAAGTTCTGAATGTTGTTTATCTGTGATGTGGATTCCCAGTATCTTCTCTAACTCTGCCCCTTTCCCCTTACTGTTTTCCAAATTTTGACTAATGTAAATTTATTACTTTCATAATGAATATGCATTAGCTTCAAAGGGTGGAGGGCTTGAAAGAGACGGAGAGTCCCACAGTCCAGCTGTGGGCACACTTGGGGAGGCCAGTGCCTGAGTATGACAGATGAGTCTGGGTGAATGAGGTTCATGAAGGGACAAGACCAGCCCCAGTGGGCAGAGTTCTGGTAATTAGAGGCAGCATGTTTTGTCTGAGGTAGGAAACGAGTCTGTGTAATAACTAGTCCTGTTGTAAGAGGTTCCGCTTTCTGCTGTCTGTCAGATGTTGAAATAGGTGGGCTTTGGGGGTCCTTTAAACTCCCACATTCTAAATGTTTGTCTAGGTACTTCCTGGCTGCCTGCCAGTCCTTCAGAGTCTTTGGAGCAGCTGGTGAGTTATGAGGTGGTTCTCACCCGGCAGATGCTGTTCCTCCTGCTTGTATTTTGGTGAATTATTGTTGGTTGTTGGTTTTGTGGTCAGTGACATTCCCGGGTGGGCTTAGGGAAGAGATCTGACTCAAAACCCAACATCTGCATATGTTGGCTGCATCTGAGATGAGTGATGGGAGGTCACTCCACTGTTCTCCAAACCTCTGCTCTTGAGTCGTTAAGGAGGAGATTAAATCCTCTCGTGGGCATATTCTGAGGATTTGCTGAGCAAGATGAAGTGTGTGCACGCACTTAAGCGGCTGTTGTACTAATGAACAATTCTAATTTCTAGTTGTAGTTAGAATGTAAACTGGTTCAGTTTACATTCAAAGATGATGAGGAAGGAGGATAAGAAAGAATAACAGGGAGTGAATTTGATCAGAGTATATTATAGGCATGTATGAAAATTTCACAATGAAACCCTTTTGTACAGTTAATATACACCAATAAAAATTAAAAAACCCTCCCGCTTAGAAGCAGTGCAGCATGTAGGTTCTGCTCAACTTCACTCACCTGTGTGGTCTTGCCAGGCAGTCCTTTGCTCTGACCAAACCTCTGTTGGCTTGTAGATCCAGACAAGTGAGAGTCACCCCCTGCGACAGTTCCATTTCACCTCCTGGCCGGATCACGGCGTTCCTGACACCACTGACCTGCTCATCAACTTTCGGTACCTTGTTCGAGACTACATGAAACAGAGTCCTCCAGAATCACCAATTCTGGTGCATTGCAGGTATGCAGTTGGCACCTCTGTGTATATGACAATTTTAAATGTAATGATACATTTATGAACATTTCCCAAAAGCAAGCCAGAAGAGGGAATGCAACAGGCAGTTACAAATTCAAGAAAGGTTTGGATAGGAGGTGGTGAACTTACTCCCTAAGCCCCTAGACCCTAGAACAGGGGTTGGCAGACAACCTGTGGGCCACATCTTGTCAGCTGCTTGTTTTTGTAGATAAAATTTTGTTCAAACATAGCATGGCCACTCGGGCACAGGGCACATACTGTTTATGGTTGCTTTTATGCTAACTGTTTGCTACCTGGTCCCTTAAAGAAAGTGTCCCTGCTTCTACTTTAGGACAGTAAGAGATTAGTTTTAAAGCTAAAGGAATTGATTTAGGGCAGAAGAAAGGAGGAACTCTGTCACTCTGTGGGGAATTAGTAGATGAAACTTGCTATCCTGGGTTATGGTAGCACTTGAGTAGGATTGAGTGAGAGAAGCTCTAGCAAGGTGTTTCACTTGTGGCATTTAACTCAAAACTAAGTTTATGATGTAGGCCCCAGACCCAAGCTAGGGCAACCAGACTTGTTGAGTTGCCATTGAGCAAATATTTGCTGATCCTTGGGCAGTGCCCCCAAATGGTGATAGTGGAGAAGAGCAAGATGTAGGCACAACTGGGGAGATTTTAGAAGTCTATGGTAGACATGCTTATTTCTTTTTCTTTCAGTGCTGGAGTTGGAAGGACAGGCACTTTCATTGCTATTGATCGTCTTATCTATCAGATAGAAAATGAGAACACTGTGGATGTGTACGGGATTGTGTATGACCTTCGAATGCACAGGCCTCTAATGGTGCAGACGGAGGTGAGGCCATGATTGACATCCATTGACATCCACCCTTCCCATCAATTTCTGAAAAGTCATAGGATACTTGTGTTAAGATACTTCACCCTTCCAGGTCTTCCTGGCTCTTGCCTATGAAGTAGTGCTGGCTTTCTTTGCAGATCCTAAACTGAATGAATGACTGGTATCCACCCAGATAGTGTCAGAATTCTTCACCTTGCTGCCTCTGATTTATCAAATAATCTTCACAAGTCTTCAAACTTTGGTTTCTAGGTTTTAATCTCGTAAAGCTGCTGTTTTTCACCTTTGTTTCTAAGAAAGTTTAACCATCTTTTTTTTTTAACTTTAATTTATTATTATTTTTTGGAGGTACTGGGGTTTGGTTCAGGTACTGGGGTTTGAGGTACTCGTGGTTGCTAGGCAGGTGCTTTCTACCACTTGAGCCATGCCTCCAGACCTTTTGCTTTAGTGATTTTTCAGGTAGGACTTACTGTTTTTGCCTGGGGCTGACCTTAGACCTTTATCCTTCTACCTGCAGCCTCCCACATAACTGGGTTTAGAGATGTGTACCATCATACCCACCTTGTTTTGTTGTGATTGGGGGTTCTCACTAACTTTTGTTTGGGCCGGCCTAGTTTCTGGATCCTACTGATCTCCACTTCCTGAGTAGTTGGGATTATAGGTGTGAACCACTTGCCTAGTCCTGGTCTGACAATCTTAAAAATAAGCTAACGAAACAGACATATCAAACATTAATGGTAGACTAGCATAATGCTGCTTAAGTTTTATCCTTATCCAGTCTTGTAGATGTTAAAAACATCAATTATAGAGCTACAGAAGGATGGCTGAGCAATGGAGAGAACAAATGCTTAGTATCTGTGGTGTAATGTGTGCAAAGCTGTTGGATTTGTTTTCCCTGCAATGCCCCTGTTAAACAGTGATTTCCAGGAATGTTCTCATCAGAATATATTGAGCAGTAGTTCCCTTGAAGGGGTGAATGTGCCCTGACCAGGATGACAGCAAATATTAATTCTGTGTCAGGCTGTTGCCGTGTACCAATTTAGAACTCTATGAATATGTGCTGTGTTTTTGAGTCTAGCAGGGAATGTTCTAGAGGCCTGGGTACATTGTGTGCTTTGGGGTGAGATGTATGATTGTGGTAGAGTGAAATTTACCTCCTGTGTTGGTTAGAAGAGAGCTTTTCATTTTTCTGCTGTAATTATATAAAGAAGTATTTCTCAATTTTTTATGCTCTTTTGAGAAACACAGAAATCTGCCTGCAGATTCTGTTCTCATCTCTCTTTGTATATTTTGAAAGCAATGCTTAGTTATGTTAAAAATTTAACATAGGACTGCGTAGAATATATATACATATTTTATTTTTTCTTCCCTAATCTCACACCTAGATGTAGGCAATGTTTATAGTTTGGTGTATATCTTTATAGGCTTGTCTTTGTACATTTATAAACACACACGAAAGATATTTTGAAAAGGTCGGACTCTGTTTTATATATATTATGCCTCCCCATGTTTACTCTTCACTGCATGCAGGCTCCCAGTCAAGACAGTCTTGCTGGACACTTTACTGTGCATTATTTCCTCATGGCCTTGTTTTTTTGCCCCCAAGATTCCGATGTGTGTCTGTGAGCAGGGAAGTGAGATTGTGCCCTTCTGATTGAGAATCCTTGATGAAGAAATCTTCTTGTTTGTGGTTCAGATTTTAACAGAATGCTGTTACTTTGAACCATTTGCTGTTGGATAGATGGGGTTTGGTAGTAGTGTGGTGGTGGTGGTGAGGATCTGTTTGAAAATAATTTTGAGTGCTCATGCCTGGGACCTATGTTTATTTGTTCTTTCTGTTTCCTTTTTTTTCATCAGGACCAGTATGTTTTCCTCAACCAGTGTGTTTTGGATATTATCAGATCCCAGAAAGAGTCAAAAGTCGATCTCATCTATCAGAACACAACTGCAATGACAATCTATGAAAACCTTGAGCCAGTGAGCATGTTTGGAAAGACCAACGGTTACATCGCTTAGTTCCAAAGGAAATCCTTTCTGAAGTTAACCAGACCGGCACACCCACAGCGAAGGAAAATGCCCCGATGTTGACATGTTTTCATATGTCTCATATCTTAGTTCTTTGTTCTGTTCTGTTAGAACTGCTTTGGAGGGCGTGAAGCTGCACGTGTCAAACATGACAGATGAGAAGTTGGGGCTGCCAGGTGCTGTGATGGGTGGTGAGCAGATCACCTGCATTCCTGATTACCAATGGGATAAGTTCACTTTTTTTTCCTTGAGAATTGTGGGAAAACCAGGAAAAGTGAGCTATGATTTTTTTTTTTCTTCAAAACAGGTTCTTTTTTTTTTTTAAAGACTATTTTATATGATTCACATGCTAAAGCCAGGATTGTGTTGGGTTGAATATATTTTAAGTATCAGAGGTCTATTTTTACCTACTGTATCTTGGAATCTAGCCGATGGAGAATGCGTAATTGTGGATGCGTGATAATTGTGTGTGGAGAGGCACATGGCGCCTCTTCTGCCTGGGTTTTCTATTTGAACATGTGCCTTTCTGAATTATGCTTCCACAGGCAAAACTCAGTAGATATCTCTATTTTTGTATTGAATCTCATAATTCGAATATATGGAATATTTAAACAGTAGTTTAGCATCAAAGGTTTGCCTTCTCAGTAACATTCCTGTTCTCATTTGACTAGAGGAGGTCTTTCTCTTTGCTCCCCCTTACCCCATCATCCCCTCCATACTTGTGCTCCATTTTTTTCTTCCTTTTTCCATCTCATTTTTCTCCACAGATTTCTGTTGGCAACATTTTTTTCCAGCCCATTGATTGGGTGAGAATGGAAACTAAAATAATCACCTTGAGAATTTCTGTGGGTGGAAGTGGGAGAAGCAGAGGAATCCTACCAAGACATACATAAATCCTTTTCTTGTCCCTGTCTTATCTTTTTTCTCGTTTCTGTTTTTGGTAAGAAGGATTATTTAAAGGTGCAATATGTGACTTAGTGATTCATGATGCTCTGTGTTTTTAGTAATGTTTTACTCAGGTTGGCATTTTGTGTGTGTCTGTGCATCTGTGTGTGTTTGTGTGTTTTTAAAAGCGTGGCAATCTGTGAACATTTCAGTGTGAACTCGATGTCAGATTAATCCTCTCCCGAAGTCCACTGGCTTTAGTCTCTATCTGCAGTGACACGTTTCGGTATCTACTGTATATATAAGTACTAAACTCCTACAACAGTCATTCCTATGAATCGAGGTGTACAAAGTTTGATTTGTATCAAAGATGTAATTATTATTTTTAAAACCTCTTTTCACTATACTGCTGCTGTAATTACTTTGATTTTTTAAAATATAGATTAATTTTTTTTTGCTTCGGGTGTGTATTCACTAAGAATTTCAGAATTTATGTGGATTTATTTTATTGGTACATAATCTGTAAACTTCTCAAGGCATTAACATGAAAGGATTTGTTTCTTTTATTTTATGTTATGGCTCAGGTTATATTTTGAAGTTTTGAATTTATTCTCCAATAGGCAATGAAGTATACAAGGTCTTATGAAGGAAATACCGAGTCCCTGGAGTCCTGTGGCTTCTTCCACAGTAACACATCCTGCTGTACACTTAGGGCAAGTGTGTCCTGTTGAAAATGGGGGTGGGGTTCTTCTCTGAGTGCCCTGGCCACCGCGGGCCTACAAAGCCCATGCTCCGCTCCTCACTCACTGGCACTTTGATAACTGACTGGACATGTTAATGGGTATTTTAGGATTATAAAGGGTGAACCACAGTGTACTTAAAGCCCTTATGTGGTTCAGAGGTTTAGTGCTGTCTTTTGTCCCCCCTTTCCCTTTGAGGTACTGAAAGGATTAAAAGGAGAGATCATGATGGTGTCATGTTTTGGGGAGAATTTTATTTCTCAGATGGAAATTGCACTTTTTTTTTTTTTCTGAATCCTTTGCATTATTTAGCTGTAAAAGTTTGTTCAGTAACAGGCCAGGCCTGATTGGGTCCCTGACTCAACTTCCTTGGGGAACCTGGCTCTGCAGCTCTGCAGGTGTGACTCAGGGAAGCCATGCTGTCCCTGGGTGTGGAGTGAAGCTGCATTTGGGCAGATTGCTCCTGACCTTCACACTGGTCTGCCCCCCAATACATACAGACTGTGGAGTGGCCCATAGCTTCATTCAGAGGCTATGTCTGGGTGCAGTTTCTGAGGGCCACACCTGCTCCCTCTCCTCCTCCAGTGTGTCAGAAGCTGTTGTGGTGGGTGCCTAGGTGTCACATCCCATGTAGGTCCTGAGCCCTGCTCTGTCTCCACTTCCATGGAGAAATCAGAGGAAAGGACTTGCTTCTAAAAAAGGTTTTAAAAAGATTAGAATCCTTAAGAGATTAAAGCAACATAATTATAAACATGTTGTATAAAAATGCAAAACACAGAAACCCTTCTCCCTTCTGCCTGATATGGGGTTGGGAAGTATTAGGGCAACAGCCCCAGCAAGGCACTCTAGGAAGTTATTCCTAATCCCAGGAGGAAGGCTTGTAGTGGCGAGGTCTGAAATTTCAAATGGGCAGGTTACCTGTAGGTCATGATGGTTCCCTGCATCCTGAAGGGCCTGGGGACCAGGCCATTGAAGGTGGTAGGGGTATTTATAGCACAGTCATTGTAAAGGGAAGATTAGTGTGTATATAGGAAGGACATGCAGGCTGGGGTTGGTCAGAGGCCCAGGGAAAGGTGCTCCTGAGTGTGTGCCCTAAGCCCTTCCCAGATACTGTGAACTAAAATTCAAAGAGTACAGTAGAATCCAGGGGATGGGGAGCTTTCTTCTCAGTATTTGACGGTTGCATATAGCAGAAGCTGCCAGTGTGGGATTCGCTGTCAGTGAAAGTGCTAAAGATTGGTGCCAGATGGTTTGGGGGGATTTGGGCCATTGGTATCTAGTCCCAAGAACAAAGACTTCCTCCAGAGTTGACTCAAGTGATGATTGGCACCAGTAGAAAATGACATTTGGTGTCTGTCCCTGATGGTCACATCATGACCTCTAGCCAGACTTTGGCATAATTGACTCCACTGGATTTGTGCTTTGTAAAGTCTGAGGCTCTGGGGGGGATAGGGGGATAGAATAGGGATGGGGAGGGGGTGGGGGTCAACTATGCAGCTGGTTCATATTTGTTTTTCATCTGGGTTGGAAAAGCCTGGTATTCTTTCAAAATGCTTGATTGCGCTTGTTGAGTTAAACAAGTCTTTGTGACTGATGTTGATTTGCCTCAAAAGTCCAAGTTCTGAGATTTCAGACTACTGTGTAGCAGTTGTGTGTTTAACATACTGTAGCTTTTTCTCCTTTGGGGGCACATATGAATAGGCCGTGTTGATGTGGACTCTAAACTGTAATTTTCTTGTAACTATTTTGGAATGATGCATATTTCTAATGTTTGTTACACTTGTACAGAGTATTGCTGTTGGTTGCTTTTTTTTTTTAAGGTTAAAAAATGGCCTGAAAATTTTTTAAAAGACTTACAAATACCAAATATAAAAAAATGTCAACACATTATGTCTTTGTTTCTTTCTTTCCAATCCCTCCCCTCACCTTTAATTTATATCCATACCATTTACCAAGCAGTTTAACTGGCTTATTATATATCCAGCTGGGGCATTGTTAACAAAAACACATTACCCTTTGGGATTTTCCACATAGTTTAGTTTTCTAGGGCTGCCATTCTAAATACCACAGACTGGGTGATTTACACAAAAATAATTTATTTTGTCACACTTCTGGAGCCTAAAGGTGAGAGGTCAAAGTATCAGCAGACCTCTTTTGTTGCCTACCTTTCTCTCTGTGTCCTCTCAAGACCTTCCCTTTGTTTACCTGTGTCTAATGTGTCTGATCTCTTCTTATAGGGTCTCCAGTAATGCTGGATTAGGATCTTACCCTTATTACCTCATTTTACTTTAATTATCTCTTTAAAGACTTCAGTTCCAAATATAGTTATATTTCAAGGTTCTGGAGGTTAGGAATTCAGCGAGTTTTGGGGGACACATTTCAGCCCATAACACCTCCAGGATGCTCTAGGGAAGTAGAGAGACTTGGAAGGCATGGCTGTGTGTGCTCTCAAGGGCTGAATGCATGGTCACAGAAGGACAGATGCTCACTCAGAGGCTTGCATGCCTTAGGCAAGTTCCCAGGATTTTTAGAGGGTTTGGGGAATCTCAGAATTGCTGGGATGCTATGGCAATGGATAGTTTTGAAATTTCGTCTTTTTGTGCACTGAGGCAGACTATGCAGATTAAGATAACTTTATTGTGAGACCTCTCTTGTTTCTCTTGCGGGAGACAAATTCATTTATTCAACAGTGATTTATTGAATGGCTTATTACTTACATACTGGACACTATACTTTGGTGCTGAGGGGTCAGCAGAAAAAAAAAGATAAAAAAAATCTCTGCTTTCTTGGAGTTTACATTTTTATAAGGGAAGAATGCACAAGCAACTTGTAAGCCAAATTTTCTGTATATGTTAAGAGGATGAAAATGTGGAGAAAAATGGCATTTCACATCCTGGTGCACCAAATTGTCATTCTCAAATGGCTGGCTCTGCAGTTAAAACATGTCAAAGTGAAAGATCTATGAGGTGCTTTCCACACAATTCCTGCTGTGGGGGTAGGTGAGGGAGACAGGAAGAGAGAGAGGGAAAGGTAGAAGAGAGGAGAGACATGGTTTGGATAGCAGTAACGTGCATTCCGAGGCCCATGGGTGAGACAAAAGTTGAATGGAGTTGATAGGTAGCAGTCCGACATGGGATATGCAAAGGAGGATCCTTGGTTCAATGCCTACATGCTGAGAACCTCTCTCTCTCTCTTCCTATTTGCTTGCAAACTTATCTTGATCTAGGCCTTTGGCTCCACATTCTTGTAAACCACCTGTGAAACATAAAAGAGATCCTGATGGGACAGCCTGGTGTGGCAGGACTTTCCTCACCCTCACCCTCATTCTGGAATGTATACTCATCTTTATGTCCCCCTGCACCTGTCCAAATGAAAAAACAAGTACAAGTTCTGGTCTAACCTGGTTAAGGTGGGCTACTTTGACTAAGAGTTGTCTTTTTCCCATTACTATGTCATTATAATCTAATTGCACTTTTAAAATTTCCTCCCTTTGTGTTTTTCTTAGGTGGTTATGGATAATTACATGCACTGAATGATTCTTGAGACATGTCATCATTCTTCACAATTTTCATGTCAGTCACTCCCCGTAGGCTGGTCCTGGGGAGGAACTTCTCGCTCTAATCCCCTTAAACTACAATAAAGCCTGCTCAGGGGTTGATGTTAGCATTATTCTTGACCTGTTTTTCTGAGATGACCCACTTTCATCTCTGAAAGTACCTTTCTATTCTAATAAGCTTTGCTGTTCTTAATAAACTTTGCTATCACTTGCCTACGTTTCATGTCTTGCCTGAATTATTCTCTCACTGGACACGAATCAAGATAGCTGCACTGACTGGCAACTGAGCAGAAGTCCTGCCCTTAAGTAGGAGACACCCTAGAAGGAGGGGCTTGGGCCAGTGTGATACAGATGCAAAATGATTCCCAGCCAGGACTTACCAGCAGAAGTCTAAAGAGAGGGGTATAAGGGAGTCAGAGGGATTATGAGTGCGGTGTTATTTTAGTTGAGTTGAAGTAGAATTTTCGCAGGAGGATTAAAATGGGGAAAGGTACAGGGCATGAGGGTGCAGGCTTTGGAGAATGGGAAGATTTTGGGGTAGATGGAATATGGGGAGTGTGCAGGGAGGGACATGATGTGGTGAGATGGTGGCACGTGATAGCAATAGGTGAGTGATTTAGGAATGGATTTGGCTAAAACTCTGACCTTTAAAACACTGTGCCGTGTGTGTGTGTGTGTGTGTGTGTGTGTGTGTGTGTGTGTGTGTGTGTGTGTGTGTGTGTGATGTGTGGGCATGCACAATTTTATCTTTACTATTTTCTTTGCATGGGAACTGCATGGTGGTCATGGATGACTGTAACATGGAAGGAAAGACACCACTAGACACAGGTTCAAGAGCTGATAATATGAGTATAGGATACAGTTTGTTACACTGAGCAGGTCACACTATAGCACTTTCAGTAGGAGACACATTTCCCTGGCCTTTGACTCACTGGATTCTTAGTAGTTCTTGATATTGGGCAGGTCAAGCACCCTACTTGGTCTTGCAAGGCATTTGCCTTGCCACTCTTCCTTTCCCCCAACCTTTCTGGAGACTGGCTAAATGTTGGCCAGCTTGCCAAGTGCAAAGAAACTAGTCAATTCTAGTACATTCTTGAGTCACTTACTATGGAATACAGGCTAAAATAAGGTCAGTTTTCCCACAGTACCCATGGCATGTCCAGATTGAACCCAAGGACAATTTTCTTAGTCACTCTTCAGATTAGGCAGAGTAAAAACCACAAAATGGAGCTGGAGAAGTTGCAACAGTGTGATTGTGTCACACTTGTGTTCTCCCCTTCATACGTGGAAATCCTAATGCCCAAGTGATGGTTTAAGGAGATGCACCTACTGGGAGATGATTAGGTCAGGAGAGTGGAGGCTTCCCCTCCTACCATGTAAATACACAGCAAGATGTGTCATCTATGAACTAGAAGGTGGCCCTCATTAGACAAAATCTGCTAAGGTTTGTGAACTTTCCAGCCTCCTAGGACAGTGAGAAATTTCTGTTGTTGATAAGCCATCTAGTTTATGGTGTTTTGTTATAGCAACCAGAATAAATGAAGGTAGCGATGGTTGTGGTAGTGAAGATGGAGAGAAATGGATGGATATGAGACATGATGGTGGTGACTGATGGAGTCCCTCTCCCCTGACTTTGATTCTAGGCAAGGCTTTGGTAGATGAATGTGTGTGAACATGACAACATTAGTCCTGAACCTAGACCATAAGAGAACTCACTTGTTTTTATTCACTCTCTTGTACTTCAACCATTGCCATAAAAGAACCTCCCCTGGGCAGCTGTTGCCCTGATCCTGCACACCCCCAGTGAATCTTTGGTGCACAGCTGCCCCAGCCAAGGCTAGCCAGACTCCATCTTGGAGCAGAGAGGTACCTGGTCCAGGTCTCTCTAGATTAGTTGGCCCTTTGCCAACCTGCACACCTGTGAGATAGGTTTATTCCATGAGAACCTATGACTTTGGGGTTGTTTGCTATGTAGCATTTTGTGGGACAATAGCAAACTAAAATACTTAGCTTTTCAGCTAGTAATTGGCGGTACTGGGATTTGAATCAATTTCAAAGCTGGTTTCTTGGCTGTATCTTAATAGAGTTCAAAAGTTTATTTCTTAACACAGGCATTTATGAACAGAACCTGGAAGTATCTATCACGTTAGATAAAACAGAAATTTTCCTACACCTTGGTTCTAGAGGCCTTTAGTAAGGGCTTAGTTAGCTGTCCTGGACTTCCTACGGTGATAACACTTGGGCTGGTGGTGGGGCAGTGTCCACACTCTTCCTGTTGTATCAGAACAAAACTGTCCCAGAACTCTTCGGCATACACTGTTAGCATGGAGGAGACAGGAAGATGCAACAGACCTTCAAACTCTGTTTCTGACCTTTTATTGTCCATGTACTTTTTAGAAAGTCAGGCAAAACTGCAAAAGAGCACAGTATTCAAGTATCTTCTGAAAACTAGCACTTAGGACTGCCCAGGTATAGCTTAGGAACTGGACTATCATAGTAAATAACAATCAAATGGTCAAGTGTCAAGTTTAAGTGAGAAATAAATTTGTAACTCTGGAGACCTGTGGTTTGAGGACAACTTGTGCAAAAAGTGAAACTCCATGTCAACAAAAAGCCAGGTAATGGTGTCACAAGCTTGTAATCCTAGCTACACAGGAGGCATAATTAGGAGAACAGTAGTCTGAGGTTGACTGGTGCATAAATAACAAGACCTTCTCTGTAAGTGACATGGGGCTGTACTTACATGTTGAAGCTGTAGAAATGGACATAATTTTTTTTTCTTTTGGTGGCACTAGGGTTTGAACTCAGGCCCTCCTGCTTCCTAGGCGGTTACTCTCCCACTTGAGCCACTCCACCAGCTCCTTATCTGAAAAATGACTAAAAAT